TTAAGCTGGTTAAGAAGCTACTCAAACGTTACTAGAACTTCCTATATAGCGCCGTGTCGGCCGTGTCGGCCGCGACCTTTAAGTAGCCGTGTAGCTTCGGCAAATGGCTCAAGGAGTCGAATGTATTCTGTTATTGTCGCCTAGTCCTTGCCGCTTAGACCCCCTTCGCGTATATATAACCGTGGCTGGGCAGCAGGGAGCTGCTCACGATTCTTCCGGCGTCGTGAGGTTGCTGTTGCAGCACTATGCTCCTCAAGTTTACACTCAATATAGCCATCGATAGGGCCGTGTAGCTCAGCTGCACGGACAAACGTGTTGAAATAGCTATTCCAGCGTGTCTTAACAGGCTTCACAAGCTGCCGGATGTGGGGTGTAACACCTAGAGACTCTGCCTCCTCGCACTGTAGGCGCTCTAGTAGTTGTCGAGTTTGAGGCGTACAGATAGACGCAATCACGTCAAAGAGGACGCCAACAGGACCGTATTTGCGCCACTCATCCATGTACTTCTCCTCTTCCTCAAGGTGTGCGGCTTCATTCTCGTACGCGCTACGGTCTTTGCCCCAAATTACTAATTGTGCGCTTAGGTTGAGTATATGGCAGCAGCACCGCAGCCGCCGCTCGCTTGCGATAAAGCCAAACTCCTCTGCTAAGGACTCAACTGCAGTATCATTGTTACTTGCGTTGTCAAGCACAAAGTACCCAACCCTCGCGTTGTCAACGCCAAATAGCCGAAGTATTGTTGTTGCTGCAGCGGCAATATTATTGCCAGTGTGCGCCCCGTGTAGCTCAGGCAACCCAAGCAGGTGGTCAACTAGCTTGCCCTCGCTGTTAAGGTAATGTACGCAGAGGCCAGTAAAAGCATACTGCCCACCAGTTGAAGTCCAGTTGTCGAATGACACGTGTATAAGCGACCGGGCTTCGCGAAGGTAGTTGGCAACAGCTAGTATGTATGTATTGTACTCAGTAATAATATGATCGTGGAGCGTTTAGTGGCTACGCCAAAGGAGAGCTTCGGCTAGCGGGCTCACGGCCGCAATCATGGCTCGAAACTGCGGCGTTTCTATTACGCGAAGGCTCTGGTTGTCCGCGACTACCCAGTCCTTCAGCGCGTCCTGAAATCGAGAGGTTGAAAAGCTTGCTGCTATCTCGTTTGCTACCTCTTGCGATACTTCTATCCCTTTAGACCTCATAATATATACTTGGGACTTTGCGAGCGCGCCCATAATATTGCCCTCCCGGCTAGCAATTGGTACAGGTCCGTTAGGTCCGTGTGAGTGTCCAGGCTTGTTGCTTGAGAGGTGTCGGCCGGCGTTTGTAGTGCTGTCAGCCTCGTAGCAAGCCTCCTGCTTCCGTCGTTGATGGCAGTACCGGCAAAGCCAGTAGTTTTTCTTGTACTTGCGGTGCCAGACGGCCCAGCCGTGGCGGTAGATCCAGCTTTTTGGCCCACCGCGACTATTACGCTCAACCTGGCGCCGCTCAAGATACGGCACACGCTTAAAATCAAGCCCGTCGTAATTGTCGTCGTCGTCGTCGTCGTCGCCGTCGTTGGGGAAGTCCGCCTGTACTGCCAAGGGCTCATCAGCCTGGGCCTCGCTCGCAGTATCGCCAACAGTAGGCGCATTTGATAGCGATGGTAGAGGAGAATTGCGCTTGTCGCATTCTACAAGGCGGCGAAGGCCTGAATTAGAGGGAGTAGACATGAAGTACACCAAGAAGTATTATGGCAACAGTAGTCTAGCGTCGTGTGTATAGCAGACGCGACGCGACGCGACGCGAAAGGCTTACTAGGTGCGCACCGGGTAGCGCATTTCCGCAAACTCTAATTAGCTTAAAGCTAGATGCTTTAACTTATATAGGATTAGTGTCTTTATATCTAGGACTAGCGCGGCTTCGAAGCCGCACTAAATGTGGCTTTCACAACTCTAAAATACTGCTTTAAAAACAGCTAACGTCAGTCTAACGTCAGTCAGTTCAGTCAGTCTGGAGGCTTCTGAACTGACTGGACTGACGTCCAGCTGCCTCAAGAACTGACTGACTGAACTGAGTCTTGGCAGTCAGTTCAGTCAGTTCGAACTGAGTTACCTGACTGATAGCAAGTCTGGTTATCACACTCTCAAATACTGGGATGACCTCGTAGAGTGCGCCAAAACGGCCACACTTGCCGCGGCCTTGGAGGCGATCTGTAGCAAACTTGAGCGGCTGCAGTATCGCCATGTACTCAGTAATCACCGCCCAGTCAGCCGCCGTAAGGCCGTCTGACCTCATCCACCGCGGCACATCAGGCAGCTTGTTTCCTCTAATAGCTGCCTGTTCGTCAGCCTGTTCAGTCTCGCGAATGTGGTACGTGGCGTATGCGTTGATAGCTTGTTGGAGCTGAACTCCGCGCTTAAAGCAGTCGTAATAGCTGTTCCAACGTGTAACACACGGCTTAATTGGCTCGCGAGTGCCGCCGCTGGCGCCTGTGGGCATGCTGTTAACTGCCTCGCGTTGGCAATCTTCAAAAATACTCCACTGCTTCGGCGTGTTGATGTAGTTGATAATATCAAGATACACGCCAAGCGGTCCTTCTTTCCGCCACTCCTTCATGTAAAAATCCTCCATCTTTGTGTTCTCCAGGGCGTTGTTATACGCGTCAGCATCCCTCCCGAACATAATCGTTTGGCCAACAAGGTTAAGTATGTGGCAAGCGCAGCGGAGGCGGCGATCGGAGGCAGAAAAGTGGTACATCGAGGCGAGTTTGTTAACAGCGGTGTCGTTATTGTAAGCGTTATCGAGCACAAAGTAGCCGAGTTTGCTGCGATTAATGCTGAAGGATTGCAGGATTTTGGTTACAGCGTCAGCTATCGCCTCACCAGTGTGGGCACCCACCAGCTGCGGCAGCGCGATGGGTAGGTCAACTATCGCGCCCTTACTGTTGGCGTAGTGAGCAACTACAGAAAAGAAGCCACGTTTGCCGCCTTTTGTCGTCCACCCATCGAAGCTTATATGTACCTTGCTCTCGGCTTCAGCCAACGCGCGCACCACCTGAGGCCGTAGCCAACTGTACAACCTCATCACGAACGCTGACACGCTGTTATGAGACCTCCATAACGCCGCCTCTGCCTCAGGATTAGCAAGCCTGATCATCTTGCGAAAAGCCGGCGTCTCAAACTCGCGGAGTGGTCTGTTGTTGTCGACCAGCCAGAGCGCAGCTGCCTGCCGAAATTCTTGTACGTCGAAGTTTCCTATAGTCTTGTACGCCTCTAGACTAAATTTGACACCGCTTAGAGCTGCCTGACGAAGTGATTGTTGTCCATGTTTGCGGAGAGGTTTGCTTAGGATTGGACCATCTTTGCTGAGCCGATGACCAGGTTTATCAAGCTGGAGGTGCCCGTTGGCGGCAGTGGTTGACTTCGTTACTCGGTGTACACCATTAGGTAGCTTATGAATATGACAGTACTTGCACACAAAGTACAACTCATCTGGGTGGTGAGTACCCTCCTTCCAGACACGCCAGCCGTGTTGAAAAATCCAGCTTGCCTTGCCTCGTGGAGTGCTCAGCGGCGCGACAAACCCCTTTAATCGCGACCAATCGACGCCCTCAAAGTCGCGAAAATCGACGCTCACAGCGCTATCCTCCTCCACCGAAGCCTCAGTGGCAGCGCTAGAGAAAGCTAAAGGCTGTACAATAGAGTCCTCTGGCTTATCAAACATTAACTGCGACTCCCAGGCTGGCTCATCAGTGAGCCGAGAGGCTTGTGAGGCAGCCAAAATAGGCAGTGGTGATGCCCGCCGAGGGCGCTCCTCGGGTTGTTGTACAGGCTTACATGGCGGTTCAATAGCCCGTGTGGGCGGCTCGATAACTTGTGTAGGCGGCTCTGTAGGCGGATCCGGCGTACTTTCTGGCAGCTCTATCGGCTGGGTTGGCTGGCTGCCGTCACCCAACAGCGCTTTGAGCGTAGGTTTGCGCGTACGTTGTGCTCGCTTGAAGGGAGTATCAGCTTCTTCGGCAGCCTCGGGCTTGCGTTTTGCTGGTATAGAGGGCATGGATAAGGCTAAAAGTAAGCCGGAGCCGCGAGAAAGTAAGGTGTTGTTAAATGTTATAAGCCTGATGTCAGTAGCACTAGGAATAGAACATGTGTGAATCGTGTTGTGTATTGTGCTACAGGAATTGAGATCTATGTCTCTGCCAGCTAGCGTTGTGGGCGCTAAGCCTCGTACGTACTAGCCTGGAGTGAGTGAGAGATGGGATGGAACCTAGGTCATATAACTTACACGCGAGTAGGCTTAGTAAGCAAGATCCAACACTAAGAATTCGTCGTTGAGCAGCTATCCCAGAGGCCTCACCTACAGACTCCGCAACAATCAATCGATTGACATGATTGATTCCTATATAGGTTAAAGAATTACTTCATTAGGCAGCCTTTAACCTAGATAGGAATCAATCATGCCGATCCGATTGATTGTTGCGGAGTCTGCTCACCTAGGTATCCCCCTCCCTCGCTTACTATCAAACAACACCAATCCTATCAACATTTTGTTCTCAAGATTGGTTGATTGATTGACAGAAATACAGTGGCTAACTGTTGGTTAGTTGGTTGGCTCCGAATCAAACAAATCAAACAACAATATTGATGAGATATTGATTACTGACAACCTTGACTACACCGTACTTCGTTCAGACAATGAGGAATTATCTCCCCTTAGCTTTTATCCTGCTTGCTCCTGCAGTTTCCGCCGTAAGTGTTATAAATAACGCCCTTAGGCCGATACTATAAAGCACAATCACAACACTAACACATAACGTATAGTGGAATGCTTGCCACCACAGTCCGCAACAATCAATTAAGTGGGTCCTAGAAGGTTCAGATTGGATTGATTGATTACCGCTTTAAGCCTAGTAGTTACCTATAGGAGTTTAAGCCCTACCTAGATAGGTAAGTGGGTCTAGGAGAGTGACCGGATTGAATTGATTGTTGCGGAGTCTACTTGCCACTGCGCAGGAGAAGAATCAATTAGACATGATCAAACTGCAGGATGTTGCGAACGTAATGGAGGAGTCACTTTCCCAAAGACCCCCCGTGAAGACACTCTGGCAAGGTGGGATGGTATTGGGAAACAATGCCTCTATAGTGGCCCTGTGGTCACTCAAAATACGGTATGTTGCCTGTCTCTCAATAAAAAAACTTAACCTTGGCAAGGCTAACCTAATTCAGGAACTTGAGGCTCAATTAGCCTTCTCTGCTTGCTGCAGGTCATCCGGAAATAGAAGACTCTGGGGAGCTTTGTGTTTCTCTGCTGACGTGGGTATACCGGGCAAATAGGAAAGAAGTTGAGGATTGACTGAGGTTCTATTGTAGAAGCTATGGAAAGTTTATGTAGGTGAGTGACCATAAACAGCGCTAGTCTCAGATAGGCATCGTCCCATCACCAAACCGTGACACAATGCAACGCAGTCCTCCTCTCCTCACCCCGTTACATTAAAGAAGGCGTATAGTTGCTAAGCCAAGAATCTAATGCGTAACTATGTAAGGGGCTACGCTCAGGGAGCAATCGCACAGGTATACTGGAGTTGTATTCGATGGAGAAGAGAACTATAAGCTATCTCGTGCTGAAGGTTATTCGGAGAGCGGCTCGGAATAACCTTCTGCCTATGAACTGTGCGGATGGTCTAAGCGTCGTTCGGACCGAGATATCATCGAGGATTCACCAACTGGGCTCTAGCCCATCACACAATCTGTCGAGACGCGGTGAGAGCCTTCACTAGTATTCACGGTGAATCAGGCTTCCCGTGCTCTGATTGGCCAGGCACTGATTAGTCAGCTGCTCCGTGCGTGCACCATAGATATTCTCCCTTCTCCCGTAGCTCCAATACAACAAGTTCACGCACGTTTTTCTCCACCTTCATCACAATCACCGAACAGAATGCATTCCTAGTTACGTTATTTCCTTTCAGCACTAGTGCTATAGACCTACCAACAATAGGTATATAAAAAGGAAGACTACTACTAGCTAACATGTTTTATAAGCGAGCCGCCAGTACAAGCGAGCCGCCACCTAACCAACTTTCTACACCTCTCCTATCTTAACATACAATGGCTCTACGCAGCGCGCCTCAATTAGCTTCAAATGAAGCAGATATACAGCTTGCTATCTCTTCTATTAATGCGCATCAAATTAATAGTGCTTCTATTGCTGCAGCTATAACGTGTCCGTGCACCTCATGCCCGGATTCATCTCATGCCCCGCCGAACACCGACGCGTGTCTCAATACTACAACTTTGACGCGCAATAACTCCACAACTATGGCTCCGATTGATGAAGCGATTGCAGATTTAGAATCGCGCGATCCAGGAGAGAAATTCACATTAAAAGAAGTTGCTGAAAAATGGGGGGTTAACCGCTCAACGCTAGGGCGAAGATGGAGGCGCGTGACAGGGCCTAGGAGCGATGGATACGCTCAGCAGCAAGCTATCGGCCCACAACAAGAGTTAGAGCTTGTACGATATATCACTAAGCTCACTAAGCAAGGCCTACCTCCTACAAGAGAGATGATCAGGAATTTCTCATCAGAAGTAGCCCATCAGCAGCTCAGCGAGAGCTGGGTTACTCGCTTCATTAACCGACACGAGATCTATCTTATCTCAAAGTGGACCACCGCCATGGATCGTACGCGCCACCTGGCTGATTCTGAGTCAAAGTATAGACTCTACTTCGAGCTGCTGCACCAGAAGATCACCGAATACCACCTAGAGGCTCGAGATATATACAATATGGATGAAAAGGGCTTCCTTATTGGTATGATAGGCAGGAGTAAGAGGATATTTAGCAGGCGTCAATGGGATAAGAAAGAGGTTCGAGCATCTCTCCAGGATGGATCACGCGAGTTTCTGACACTCCTGGCCTGCTGCTGCGCCGATGGGAGCTCGCTGCCTCCAGCCCTTATCTACGCAGCTAAAAATGGAGCCATACGATCGAGTTGGGTGGAGGATATTAAGGCAGGAGAACATGAGGTCTTTGTCTCATCATCTCTAACAGGCTGGTCAAACAATGACGTAGGCCTAGCTTGGCTAGAGCAGGTGTTTGATCGCTATACAAAGCAGCAGAGATGTCAACAAGCAAGTCAAGCTGGCTTGATTCTTATCGATTGCAGATCACAGACCATTCTCTGGGACGTGCCACTGTGCACGAGCCTCTATATTGTCTGTGATCTGCAATCGATAAGAATCAAGCCAGCTTGACTTGCTTGTTGACATCTCTGCCAGTATGAGAGCCTGCGAGATGTGGGAGGGCGATGGGGAGATCTTGTATCACTCCAGAGGCGTTAGCAAAGTGTGCAACGACTCCAAAGAATCCACGCTTGCCACCCTTTGTCGTCCAACCATCAAAGCTTATGTGGATCTTGCTTGCAGCTTCTGACAGAGCGCAGACAATCTGTGGCTGCATATATTGGAAGAGGCGCATTGCGTAGGTAGCTACACTGCGAGGACTTACCCACAAAGCTGCCTCTGCCTCTGGGTTTGCAAGGCTAATCATCTCGCGAAAGGACGGCCTTGCAAGTAGCTCCATTGGCAAGTTGTTATCAAGAAGGCAGAACACTGCAACTTCACGAAACTGCTGGATGTTGAAGTTGCCCATCGCGTTGGCAGCCTCTTGAGAGACTGCAACACCAGTCTCCAGCGTCTGTCGTAGAGAGAGTTGCTGCCCTGTTCTTCGAGGCTTCAGGCCGTCTTTTGTAAAGCCATGGCCTCGTTTCTGAAGGCCAAGATGAGCTGCAGCTGAGGAGGTGGCCTTTGATACGTCAAAAACTCCACTGCCGCCAGTGTCAATGACCTTGTGGATGTGGCAGTATTTGCATACAAACCACACTCGATTCTGATCGTAGAGCTCAACAACGCGATATCCATGTTGAAAGATCCAACTCTTGACGCGCCGCCCAGTTGTAAGAGGCTTCATGAACCGAGGGAGGCGATCCCAGTTAATGCCGTCAAAGTTATCGCCATTATCAGGCTCTGTATCAACACTAGCCTCTGTTGTTGCTGCTGTACCAGCCTGGCTGCCCTCAGCCGCACCCTCCTCCTCTGTTTGCGACTCGAAAAATTGCGACTCAAACGTTGTGGCCTGGCTTACGGCGGCGCCAAGGGTTTCCTGAGGCGACAGCGATCGCTGAGATAGGACAGAGGGCCTTGATAGGCGCGCCCGTTTGGCGGCGGCGGCGGCGGCAGCAGTATTGGTGGGAACTCGAGAGCGTTTGGCCATCGTGGGCGATACTAAACACTAAAGAAAAATGTCTGTATAGGTAGCTAGGCAACTAGTGTTGTGTGTAAGGGATTATTAGGGAACTGAGTGAGCGAAATCGTTGTTGTATTAAGAACAGCGAAGGACTAGCTATATAGGTGCGGGGTGAAGCCTAGAAGAGGCTAGCCCCTAAGCAGAAGGAGCTAGTCCTATAAGAGGAGAGCTAGCTGGTGAGAAGTGAATGCATAGAGACTGGCTTGCCCGGCCGACAGGGATCACAAGCTAAGCGAGATAGGGGTCCAAGATAACTATCTTCAACACCAAAAACCTTCTCTTAATACGACACTACTCGCCTTACAACTCGTTAATAATAAATCAATCTAACTAATCAAATCAATCAATCTGACCTTCGCAAGTTGATTTGATTAGCTATTTTGAAAAGCTTAGATTGAGTTGATTGAGTTGGTAAAAACTCCAAATGACCAATCAAATCAATCAATCTGACCAATCTGGATTGATTGTTGCGGAGTCTGGCGGAACCGCCCCTACCTCCTCCCAATGGGCGTTCCTCCAAATCCATAGAGCTATGGAGGCCTACAACGTGAAAACGCGGTGGGCGCCAGGACACATGAAGATTGTTGGAAACGAACTCGCCGACCAGCTGGCTGACAACGAGGCCAAAGACCCGCACCAGCCATACGGCATGGCCGCCTCCCCCACAAGATCTGGTATACGAACAGTAGGCCGCCGCCTCCTCGAACATACAAGGGACACTTGGTGGAAGGATAAGAGTAGTAGGCTATCAGCATAGTACACGCAATGGCAGCTGCTATACGATACTAGGCGCACGCCCGCAGCGCTATGGCTACCCTAAAGGATACTCGCGAAAGTCCTTATGATACGCTCAACGCATGGCGACTTTGAATGGTACCACCGAAAATTCAACCACGAGGATACCTCGAAATGCCTATGCGGCAGGCCCAAGACGCCAGAACACCTAGTGTTCTGCAAGAGAGCCACAACACACTTCAAGAAGTGGCCTCTACGCCCCATCGTGCCCCCTCGCACAAGACAGGAAGGCCTAGCGTACCTCGCGCAATTAATAGACCAGCCACAAGAGTTCGAGACCTTCGTTAAGGTAACGAACTCCTTCTATAACGAGTGATTTCTATTTTTGAATTTCACAAAGACCCGCTGAATTCCTTGGCATTATTCAGTGTAGGATTCGCGGCAAAACGCCGCATAGATGCCACAACCCACACGCTCTCTTTTAAAACTTTCATTGTATCTTAAATTGCCTCTTGTTACTTTTTCGTTTCTCTCTCTAAAAAGCAGTTATTGTACTGCATCGATCAAAGGCGCAAGCCACGAAATACTAGAATATTGTAGGAAAACGGCTTCAAATGGCGGGAGTCCTTTTCACGAATATGTATATAGGCAGGACATCATTCCCCTTAGATACAAAACACCTAGGAATAGGTTCCACGAGGCAAGTGCGACAGCACTATAAGACCACGGCGGGACCCGCCCAAATACCCTATGGGAGGTTACAGATAGGGCGTTAAACCACAATCAACATCAACATCAACAACCAAAGCTCACATCACGTGGCCGCAACGTCAACCTCCTATTAAAATATAGATAGTACAAGTTGATCGCAAGCATCTAATTACTCCCCCTCTATAAATTCTTATAATAACAGCTTATATACGTGGCTTAATAGCTTCATTTTTGAAGTAGTGGATATGGTGTTCCCCACGCATCACGCGAATCCGCGCATCACGCGCACGGACACGTTAACCGTCATGTTATGCGCAGTCATTTTGCCGCATAGCAACGCTCACGTCAGCGAACTTCACTACTTACATCCAGCAAAAATGATAACAGGAGCCACTTTGTGGCATGTGCGGTCTTAGTCCAAAGAGCGCGATTGGTATTTTTACCAAGTTTCATCACTTTCTGCAGCGAGGTGCGATCGTTACGACATTCTGTTGCAGGTAATACCAAAGTACAGATTCGTTTACCGTTTCCGATATCCAGTTTACCGGGACACACTAACAAGTTTAAAGTCTTCGGACAACCATAATGAGCATGGGTGCAGCATGGCGTAGTCAAATACTCCACATCCTGCTGCTAGTCTATGTGCCGTTGGCAGCGTGCCAATGCAAATGTGTGAGTTTATCATAAGGCAAAAAACAGTCATAATCCCGGATCAGATCACTCACCAATCATACAGACTCCCAGTCAAGCATGTTGGCCGACCGCGGACGAATGGTCGCAATTCAATCAGACAATCAGTGGCAAACTGATCAAGACAGCCCCAGTCATGCTCCCTTGCTATGTGGGACCTAGCTACGACGCGGAGCAATGCGCACAGCTGAACGACACGTTGTTCTATGATCCCAAGTTCGAGGCTCAGCATCCTGTCGGTTATGACTACCCACTCAACGAGACATGCCCACCACCAACTGTAACCGACGCCCCGGCCAGCGAGTGTCAGCTTGGCAACTCACCCGTTTACGCCATCAACGCAACGATGGAAGCGGACATCCAGAATGGCATCCGCTTTGCCAAAGAAAAGAACCTTCGGGTAGTCATCAAATCCTCCGGCCATGACTTCGTCCAAAGGTAAGTCGTGTGTAGGTGTTGGCCATCACATGACTGAGCATGCATAGATCCAAAGGTTTTTATGGTCTATCCATATGGCTATATCACTTCAGAGGCGGCTTCACCTTCAACGAGCCTGTGTCCATCTCGGGCGGGCGTCACGCACAGACCTGGAATGGTACTAGCCTCACAATCAACGGCGCCTACGCCTGGTCTGACATCTACCCCAATGCCTGGGAGAAAGGCGTTATCGTCGTTGGAGGCAACCAAAATGTTTGTACTTTTCTGGCAGCACATAAAAAGACCAACGAGACTAACGTATCCCCAGGGACCTTGCAGTACCGGAGGCTGGACGCAGGGAGGAGGTCACAGCCCCGTGACCCGCAACTTTGGCATGGGCGGCGACCAAGTTTTGTCTGCAAAGGTCATCCTTGCATCGGGCGAGCTCGTCGAGGCCAGCCCAGATATCAACCCGGATCTTTTCTTCGCCATCCGCGGCGGAGGGCCCGGCACATATGGTGTCGTAACACAGTTGACTGTCAAGACGTATCCAAACCGGAACGTCAATCTGTTCTACATTGTGCTCGGCGCGCAAGGCACTGAAACAGTCAGTAAATTCCTAGATGCCATGACCGGCGTTTACTCTTCCTTCCCCAGCCTGTCCCAGAAAGGATTCGCCGGGTACGGATACTGGGTTGCCAATTCGGCCAACGGCCTACACGAACACAAATTCACCAATGTCTGGTACCAGGCATTCACAATCACCGGAAAAACAGCCGAACAATCACAAAAGCTCTTCCAGTCCTTTGAGGATAAAGTGCTATCTTACAACTCAACCCAACTCGGCATTCAGGTCAACATCACCAAATCAAGCTATGTTGACTACGGCAAGTACTTTGCCAACAAGACAGGGACCAATGCAGGCGTAGGCGGCATCTCGGCCCTCTCTTCCCGATTCCTCGACACCAATGCGCTGAGTGGTGACAAGAAGCGTCTCCGCGCCGCTATGGATGTCATGGGCGGCGAGCCGGGCAAACCCGTCTATCACACGCTCGTGCACCACGGTCTCGAGACCACACACGGCCTGCAGATCAACGACTCCGCCGTTCAGCCCGGCTGGTACCGTTCCGTTGTGCTTGACATCTTCGAGCGTGACGTGGTCGACTTTAGCTACATCAACAACATTGAGCCGTTCACCTACATCCGCTCAAAGGTGGAGCCTGTCTACCGCATCCTCTCGCCCTCAGTGGGTACGTACATGAACGAGGCCGACTGGGGCAATGTGCAATGGAAAGAAGACTTCTACGGCGTGCACTTTGACCGCCTTAGTATGGTGAAGCAAAAGTACGATCCTGACGGTGTTTTCTACTGTATTACTTGTGTCGGAAGTGAGAACTGGGTGGTGAAGGAGGACGGGACTTTGTGCAAGAGCATCTGAACAGTACAGTGGTCCCATAACCAGTGATATATACACAATATTCGTAATGAGGAGAGTATGCTCCGTGGTGCCTTACTTTCTCATTGTCTCCTTCATTTTAAGGAGGAAGAACTATGCTAATATGTATTCTGATTCCACTTCGGCTTGACCAGACATGGGGCAAAGCATTGGTGTTCCTTGTTTGTAGCACGATGCTCAACAAAAGCGAAGCCACGTTTGAGCAGTTCACGGGTCAAAATCTTTCATATGAGAACGACATGGCTGCATGGCTAACACTAAAGATTGGAATTGGTCCCTAGCCGAGGCTTTGAAAGGATACTGTGATGTAGCTCGCCTTCGGGAGTGACGAATGCCTGAAAAACGTTAGCAATCCAATCGGCAAAAATCACGGGATGAAAGGCTTGCCTTGGTCAACCCGCCGTCGACCACCAGCTCAGTCGAGTTTACAAAAGAGCTGGCATCACTGGCCAGGAAGACTGCTGCGCCCGCAACCTCCAGCGGCGCACCCCAACGCCCCTGTGGGAGGTGTACTTCCCTCCGTAGTCTTCGGGATGTTTGACCCTTTGCAGGCTCAAAAACGCTGGCAGATGAGCCTTTGCTATCGTCTTCGCCTTCCAGGAAGTCTTGTAGCATGGGGCTATCCAGTGGCCCCGGGCACAACGAGTTGAAGCGGAAGCCTTCTCTCGCATGGACGATGCCCAACTCTCTAGTCATGGCGATGACGGCGCCTTTGCTGGCGGTATACGCCAGCTGCGACGTTGCGCTGCCAATGAGCCCTGCCACGGAGCTCAGGTTGATTACGCTACCGCTCTGCTTGCGGAATCGGCGCATGCTCAAAATCGCATGCTTGCAGCCCAGCCATGTACCCAGCACGTTGATATTGTGCGTCAACTCCCATGCACGAGCCGTCACCGTCACAGCATCTCCGTCAAGATCTGTAGGGAAGACACCGGCGTTGTTGACCATAATGTCTAGGCCGCCATGCTCATCAAGTTTGGCAAGTAACTCCGCAACCCGCTCGTCAATGGAGACGTCGCAGACTTGATACAGGAAGCACGTAGCCGAACATGATGGTTTGGAATCCAAGAGCTTCTGAAGCCGGTCCAGGGCTTCTTTGGAAACGTCGGACAGGAGAATGGTACTCGCACCAGCTTCGGCAAAGCTAACTGCTGTTTGTGTGCCGATGGCCCTGCGCATAGCTTTCAGTTATAATTCAGCAGCGTTTCACTGATTGCCACCTTGTGGAGCATAGCTTCATGGCACTATCATCATACTGGATTGTAAAGGAAGGATACGCACCCTCCGGCACCAGTGATAGCCGCGTTTTTGCCCTTCAGAGAAAACATGGTGCTCATTTTGGTCTGACAATTGTTGCATATAAAAGGTAGATCGCGTGCCGATGTGTGATTGCGACTTTTCACGCGACGGGCCTTGCGTTGAGCCGCACAGGCATGCAATGAAGCTCGCCATAAACATGGGTTCCGCACTATACCTAATCGAATGCACCTGACCATCCATGCCTAAGATCCAGCAACTTGTCAGGGTTATGCAGAGGCTGCATGGGTGGCTGAGAGCATCACGCTATGTGTGGTGAGATATGGTAAGCAGACTGCTGAGGATGCGCGGCTTAGTGACTGGTCTAGCCATTTCAGTACTTCGTAGATCACAGGGTAATGGAAAGCATATGCAAGGGCCTAGCTATCCTTTAGAACACAGCACGCATAGATGTACGCATAGTAGTGTATTCTTTCATTCGCTGACGGCTGACGACTGACACCTATTGAGCTCTTGGCGGCCTCCTCTACGCTGAATGGGCGCGCTTGGCGCGCAAACGCTCAACCACCACGAACAATAACTCACCACGGCAAGGTCTTGCCTTCATAGGTCAGAAATTGCCCTGAATGCTCCGCCGTCGCATCGTCAATGACTTTGATCATGCCGGAAATGCTCTCCTCGAGCGTAGTCGGGGGCTTCTCAATGTTGTAGTCGATGGCCTTGAGCGCTGACTGCCACTGATCGACGACGTATTGCCCCGCTCGCGTCTGTACCCATCCCGGATGCAGGGGAATGGCAATCAGATGCGTGTTTCCCTTTGTGCCGTTGAATTCGAGATGGATGGAGCGCGCTAGCCAGTTCTGTGCCGCTCGGCTTGGACCGTAGGCGCCGCCGCCAAACGGGTCCATGTCGGCGATGCTTCCGACTGAAGAGGTGACCCAGATGAGTTTGGGGGTGGATTTGGCTTGTAGCAGATATGACTTCAGGCCCTGGAAGACGAGCAGAGGCGCGATGGTGTTGGTCTCGAAAGCTGCGCGTAGGTCCTCGGCTGTGGTTTCGCTTGGCGGGACCATTGGCTGTGCCCCTCCAGCGTTGAGCACCAGAACGTCAATGTGCTGGATGTTCAATTTGGCGAATGTACTTTCCACCTGCTTCGGAGAGATGGCCGTGGAGAAGTCGTATTGTATGATTTCAAGCGTGCTGCCAGTTCCTTTCGTGACGCTCTTGACCTCGTCTTCTAGCAACTGTTTGGCTTGCTCGCTACGGACCGTGGCGACTACCGTGTGTTGGGGACGCGCAAGGAGTGATTGCACAAGGCCAAGACCGAGGCCTCGATTGGCACCGGTGACGACGTACACTTTGTTTTCTGTGGTGGCCGACATTAGTGAAATTGGTGTGATGTGAAAGTGGGTGGCAGGAACAGAGTAGGGAGGAATACTGAGAAGGGGCTATGCGGCACAGGCGGAGGCTTCCAGGATTTAAATACTTTGATCCTGGTGCCTGGAGAAAACCTGCACAACGGCTCCCTCACCTAATGATGAGCGCGGCGTGCAAATTGCGACACCTTACCTGCCTATTTGGTCAGGTTATCACCTCTCATGGATGCTCATTGAGGGTCAGCCAAGCTGATCGGCATCACTCAGTGTGAGCACTCCGGCACGAACGAAACTACCTCTAAGCTTCAAAATTCAGGTTGCCGCAGAATTTCTGAAAATTCGAGCTCATGTAGATCTTCCAAGTGTTGGAGCACACATTTGAACCCTCGATCAGTGCACACACGACTCCAGTTTAGGAGAGTGGGTGCAAAACCATGACTCCTTTCTAGTCTTCATTTAGAACATGCTACGCTAGAATATCAATTCAAAATATGTCTGCTATATATTCTATTCTCTCGCATTCACCTTCTCTTCGCTCACGTTCACCTTCGCCTGGCTTGCATCTGTCAGTCCCTCGAAGAAACATCCTTCTCATTCTTGACGTCCCTTCCTACTGTTTCTGTCATGCTCTCCACATTTTGATCCTTTTTCTCTTTGGTCTTGAGCGAGCGCCAGGGAATGAAGGGCCAGGCCAATACGGATAGTGTGCACAACGCTGCCGCCATCAGGAATACCTTTCGCAAACCCGAGTTGTAGACATCCAAAGCTGTTGCCAGATCCAGTGGCGAGACAACATCTCGCAGCGAGCGAAAGTCGTTAATCAATGTATCACGCGACACTCCGGAAAACTGGCCCTCGAGTTTCAGAACCTCGCCAAGGAAGACGGCTTGCGCGATGCTAATGAAAATGGAGCCTCCGAGAATGTTGCCCAAGAGCACGGCAGATGTCCCGTATCCAACGTCTGCTGCTTCTACTGACGCTTGGGCGTTGACGAGAGATTGCTGAATTCCGATACCGTAGCCGGCACCTAGTATCACTTGGTATCCTATCCACTGAGCCCTGGAGCTGCCGGGATGCAGCGAAGACAACAGACCAGCGCCAATGGATGACAGCGTTGTGGCTGAAAAGACAAAGGGAGGCAAATACCCGACGACTGGAACTAGCGCTGCCGCTACGGTCGCAACGGAAACTTCGGATATTACCATTGGTAAGACACGGACTCCAGATCCCTCGGCCGTCACTCCCATAATCGCCTGAAACCATACTGGAAGCTAGTTGCTGTCAGTTCACTGTTCCCGCGATCTGTGGAGTACTAAATGCGGGTGACTTACATAATAGAGGATGATCCACATGCCGCTGGAGATGCAGAAGCCGAACCAAAGGGATGCCACAAAGGCCTTCCTCTTCAGCAAGCGCATTGGAAACAACGCTGCATCACCAAGTCTAGTTTCCCAAATCGCGAATAAGACAAAGGAGATGAAGAAAATGACGAAAAGCGCAATGATTCGACCGCTAGCCCATGGATACGTAGCGCCTCCCCATTGCAAAGCCAGAAGCAAGCATGTGAGTGAACCTATTATGATGCAACCTCCAGCAAAGTCCAGTTGACGCAGTTTTTCGAGCGGTGATTTTGTTGCGTTGGTCTCATTGCCTGGCGTCCTGATGGGCTTCCGAAAGGCAAGGAGTAAGACGCCGAAAAGGAGACCGCCGCAGGGAAGGTTGATCCAAAATCCCCAACGCCATCCTATCGTATTCGTGAGGACACCACCAATGACGGGCCCTATGATACTGGAAACACCTTCTAAGCCACCAATGATGCCGATGAACATGGCTCTATACCGTAGTGGCGTAATCAACGCAGTAATGCTACGAAACTGTGTTAGCTAGATGTTCGTCATACGCTCCCGTTTCTCCTTTTCGACAACGTACGTTAACCCGCCGGAAAGGACGCCAGCACATCCGAGTCCAGCGATCGCTCGACCAACAATGAATGTTGGCGAATTTTGAGCAAGAGCGCACATCAAGCACCCAATCTCCAAGATGGTCAAGGACGCCAGGAAAACATTTCTTGGCAGGAAGATGGTGATCAGCTTGCCAAAGAAAGGCAAAGTAGCTCCAACTACTAAGAGGAAGACGGCACCATACCATCCAATGTCCCCGCCTGATTTGAATACTGCAACTAGGGTTGGATTGATGGTGGCCACGATGGTAGAATCCTACTTATCAACACATTTAGTCAAGACTACCACTAGAGAAGCTGCGGACGTCTTACCAAAGCGCCCATAAGAACCACCAGGCCAATCGAGCCGATGGTTAGCACGCATTCCATGGTGGTCAGCGCAGGAGCTTCTGTGGCTGAAACCATAGATGGAGATGGCACGTCTGCATCCTCCTGAAGTCTCTTGTCGTCGGCTGGCATCGTAGCATCTGCGTTAGCCATGATTGAACTTTTTCGAAAATCGTGGAGAGTTCAACGCATCGGGAGGTACATTCGGCGTGATGATAGAGCAGGAACTATGCCGCAAAACATGTCCACATAGCGCTACGAGCACGACATCTGGCAAAAGGGAAGGGCTGCGGGAGGCGTTGCGCCATTCTGCACGTTATGTGGAAGCGTGCTTTGTCTCACCTCATGCTGAGCTCATGCTGGGGTATGTCAGCGCTTACTCCATATTGGGCGTATGTGGCACGGGTAACGCTGGACACTATTACACGCAGCGCCTTTCTTGCGCGTCTTGGGCGAAGATGCCAATAATTTCTGTGATGCAAGTCGATAATAATGTAATAATGTGATTCCGCATCAATAGGAGTGCGCGCTCTTGAGATCAATCGCATACTGATAGAGAATCGTTCAAGCTTGCTTGAAACAACCACTGCAAGCCTCCTCAACTTCTGTCTATTGCGATCCTGACTTTGTTTTGCTTGGGACAGATTGCTGCCTGTGGTGTGAAACTTGACCGTCTGTCGTTGTCCCCAGCGCAGCCGTCGAACCCCCATTGTGCCTCCTATTTGCTGCATGTGATTGCGCAAGTAACCATATCACAGAGGATAACATCGAAGTCATGAGACGAACTTCATTGCCGACGTCCAGAAAGGCGGTGATTTGCAAACTGCCTGCGTTCCCTGGAAGAAATGAACATTCCAAGGCTGTCGAAAGCGAGGAGCTAAGATTGAGCGCGCCATCTACACCATCTCTGTCGGCAGCAACACTTGAAGCTGGATGGTCTGCAACACTCTGCTTGTACACCAACTTGTCGCAGATCTGCTTCCAGAGCAAAGCCGACAACGCGAAGATAGCGAGCAGATCATGCGACATACTGGAAACCACCGAGTTGCGATCTATCTCGACCAATCTTCGCAGCCATGACAATGGGTCGGATTCGGTTGAGCAGAATCAAAGCAATACGGCCATTATATACACCGATGGCGAAGATCTTGTCTCCGCTGAAAAAAATCCAATTCACGAGTCCGGGGGTCTAAACAAATTTCTATGGCAAGATATTGATGTTGCCTTGCTTGTTGAGCCGTCGGCATACACGCTGATTTTCCGCCACAACTTCATGTCCAACCTCGAGGCCAGAAATTTTGGCGCAACGCTTTCTTCGACACTCGATGCTCTCCTGGAAACGAAGAGCACCAAGCTCTTTAAAGACCTCAACATTAGTCAACAGGACTTGCAAAACATCATAGCATGGAACAAGATAGATTTCATCCCCAAGAAGTCTTTGGTTCATGCCGAATTCTCCAAAGTGGCCGACTCACAGCCTGATGCCGAGGCTATCGATGCTTGGGACGGTCGAATGACTTATAGAGAGCTTGATGATGCCTCAACAGACATATCAAGGGAGCTGCGACGCCGCGGAGTCGGCGTCGGATCATGGGTTCTGGTTTGCTTCCACAAATCACGCTGGTCGATCGCCTCTATGCTGGCTGTGCTCAAGGCGGGTGCAGCTTTCGTGCCTGTTGATCCCAGATTCCCAGAATCGCGCATACGACAGATCATTGACGTCACAAATGCGACCCATGCGGTGGTCGCTGAAGGTGATCTTGCTGTGCTGTTGAAGAGATCATCCCCAGAACTTCAGGTCGTCCAAGCCACTCGGCTCAGTGTTCAGGGGCTATCGACTGACAAGCAAGTCGAGGATCTTTTACCACAACCCCATGATCCTGCAATATGCTTGTTCACATCTGGAAGCACTGGAATTCCCAAAGGCATCATTGCCTCACATGCTGCAGTCTGCACTGGGGCTTGGGAGTTTGGGAGGATTGGTAACGCGAACCCCGCAGATCGGATGCTTCAGTTCGCATCATACACCTTCGACATGTCCTATGCAGATATAGTCACTGCCCTGCTCCATGGTTCGACACTATGTATTCCATCTGAGGATGACCGTATGGGAAACCTGCAGGAGTTTATCCAACGCTCACGCCCAACATGGGCAAACTTGACGCCAACAGTGGCTCGACTTCTCGATCCTGCTGTCTGCTCCAGAACAATCAAAAAGCTGCTTCTCGCGGGTGAGCTAGTCAAGGAGTCAGACATCGCTGGCTGGATAGATGGCGGCGCAGAGATTTATAATGTTTACGGTCCAGCCGAGAATGTTCTCATCCTCAATTTTGGGCGGATATTCAGAGGAGCCGCTTATAACACGACTCGACCAAGGAATACCCGTGTTTGGGTTGCTGAAATGGACAAGCGTCGCCTGATGCCAGTTGGCGCCATTGGCGAACTTATATCTGAAGGTCCGCAGGTGGCTGACGGGTATTTAAACGACCCAACTCGGACGGCTGCCAGCTTTCTGCTTGACGTGGACTTTTTCCCCAATCCAACGCCGGAGCAATCGTCTCCACGGCGGTTCTACCGGACTGGCGACTTAGCACGACAATTCGCCGATGGCTCGTTTGAGGTGATCGGTAGAGCAGACTCACAGGTCAAGGTTGGTGGACAGCGCATAGAACTCAGTGATATCGAGGCACATATCAAGTCATGCAGGGCGGCCGTAGTCCTTCCCAAAAAGGGCCCGCTTGCTAACCGACTGACTGCAATCCTCCAAACTCAAAGAACGTCAGACGCAGATGATTCTTACTTCACACCCCTCAACTCAGCGTTCGTCGAAGAAACTCGTAAGAAGCTAATCGAAAGCCTTCCTCCGTATATGATTCCATCCCACTGGCTAGGAATCGACAAATTCCCGTACTCAACCTCATCAAAGCTCGACAGAAAACTTCTGCTGAATGAGGTCGAGATCTTGTCGCAGGAACAGTCAATGCACCTCACACATATAGATGGAGATTCGCAAGCCCACCAGACAGTCTCCCTCAATGAACGGCAAGAGCTTCTTCAGGAAATCTGCAGTCAGGTGTTCAACCTGCCAAAGGATAGAGTCATCATGACCCATTCGTTTACCAAACTCGGAGGTGATTCGATCACGGCTATGCAGATTTCTTCCGCAACAAGAAGGGCCGGTCTTGGGTTCCTCTCTGTCAAGCATATATTAACATCAAAATCACTTCTGGATGTTGCCGATCAGATAAGCGAGCAAACATCTTCGCAGTTGGAGATTCCTGTGATCGAGGAGCAACAGCTCTTTCGTCTTTCACCCATGCAGCAGTTCTTCGTAGAGACAGCGCATTCATCTTCAGCCTGGCATCACTACAACCAGAATGTTCTCCTTCGGTTAACGGTGGCTGTGCAGCCAAAGCTTGTCGAACAAGCGCTCGCAGATATCATCCAGCGGCACCCAATGCTGCGTGCGCGGTTCCGAGCCTCCTCAGATGGGGAATGGATGCAATATATTGCTACTGCGACAGACTCTGATTTCCAATTGGAACTTATCTCGGATGACTTATCAAGAGATGAGCAAAAACGAAGAATGCTCCAAGCGCGACAGTCCCTCAACCTCTTCGATGGCCCGATCGTGCGTGCGCAACTGTTCGAAAAGCCTGCCGAAAAAGACTCGTTGCTGTTTATCGTTTCTCACCATATCGTAATCGACTTGGTCTCCTGGAGGATCATCGTGGAAGAACTAGAAGCATCAATTGCTGCTCTGACTGAGGTAGACAGTCAGGCAATTGCGCCGGTCTTACCAGACCGATCGCAATCAATTCCGTTCTCTGCTTGGGCTGAGCTACAAAGGCACCACAGCCGACGACTCATTCCCGCACAAACAATCCCATATGGTCTATCAGTACCTGATACAGACTTCTCTTTTTGGGGGATCTCGTCATCTCAAAATGTGTACAGCGATGTGCAGGAAATCCGCATAGCTCTCGATCCAACGCTCACGTCCCAGTTCCTTTACGATTGCCATCGAGCGCTTCGCACAGAGCCTATAGATATCCTCTTGGCAAGTATCTTTGTATCATTCAGCAAAGTTTTCCCAGAATACGCTTTACCTCCAATCTTTAACGAATCTCACGGAAGGGAGCCATGGAACGATTGGATTGACATTTCGCAGACCGTGGGATGGTTCACTGTTGTATCACCTATTCTCCTAGAGAACGTCAATACCGACGATACTGTGGACGTAGTTCGGCGCGTGAAGGACTGGCGAAGAGCGATGCCTGCCAAGGGATTCCAGTACTTCTCGTCCAAGTATCTGACTGAGGAGGGGCGGTCTGCTTACAAGAATCATCTGCCAGCCGAAATTCTCTTCAATTACGAGGGACGCTACCAATCCCTGGAAAAGGAAGATGCGATTCTCAAGCCTGAATCGTGGACAGCAGGCGAGGAGTTGGCTGATATGGGCCCTAATCTCCAAAGGTTCTGCTTGTTCGAATTATCGGCTGCTGTGCTTTCTGATGGAAAGCTGCATCTGACAAGTGCATGGAACTCAAAAACACGGCATCAAAGTCGAATATCTTCTTGGCTGGAATCTGTTCTACCTTCGGTTCTACAGGATGTCGTGGGATCACTGCTCAACGAAAGGGAGCAATTGACTCTCGATAACATCGGAAAACGCAGCACCATGGATTATTTCGAGATTGATTCTCTTGCCCAAACGATACTGGCCATTCCAGAAGTCGAAAATCTCGGTGACGTCGAGGCAATCTTGGACGGCTCTCCGATGCAAGATTCTTTGGCACTGAGCCAATTGAAAACGACCAATCTAGACGCTTATGAGATTGACTTTACGTGGGAGGTTACGACAGATCACACCGAAGGAGCAGGCGGATCTATCGACCCAGATCAGCTCTTAGCAGCTTGGCATGAAACAGTCGCAGCCCACTCCACACTCCGGACGGTTTTCCTGGAATCTGCAAGTGCCACTGGATCAGAAATGATTTACCAAATCGTTCTGAAGGAACATATGCCATGTTCTGTCCTTCTGAAAGCGGAGGACTCACAAGATGCACTACAGCAGTTGAACAGCTACACGTCGTACAGAGATCAAGGCCTGTTCCCTGACAGGAAGCCCCCGCATAGGCTTCTCATTTGCTCAACTTCTGACAAAAGAACGTTTGTCAGGCTTCAGGTGAATCATATCCTCTTTGATGGCATGTCACAGAAGCCATTACTACAAAGTCTTGCAAGAGCATACGGCCAAGGTGTACTAGTTTCAGATAGCACGCGAAACACCTTCGGTGACTTCATCCGTTACATTCGCGACCCGGAGCGCCGGAACAGCAGTCTGTTATACTGGAAGGACCACCTCAATGGTGTTGAGCCATGCCTTTTTCCCCATCTGTTGGACGCCAGGATGGACAAGGAATCACCCAAGTCTCAGAAGCCACAGAGATGCCATGCCCCGGTACCTTTAGAGGTGAAGCTGTCGGAACTTCAACGTGTCTCGGGCAATTTGCAGGTTACCATACCAACTCTAGTCCATTTGGCATGGGCGCTAGTGCTGCAGCTGTATACCGGCGAGAATCATGCTGTATTTGGATATCTTGCTTCAGGACGTGACGCACCACTTGACGGAATTGAAGATGCAATTGGCCCATTCATCGCTATGTTGGTCTGTTTCGTGGACTTCGGTCAGGACGTAAACTCGTCTTTGGTGGAATTGATGAACTGGATGCAGGAGTGCTCAGCCGATGCCATCGCCCATCAGGGAACCTCTCTCGCCGAGATCCAAAGTGCCATAGGATTGCCGGGAAACTCATTGCTGTTCAATAGCGGTATCTCATTTCTCCCTAAGCTTTCGCGACAATCTCAGATCGATCGCGGCCAGGACCTGATCTTTGAAACGATCACGGAGAAGGATCCCACAGAATTCGACTTGTCTCTATTCGTTGAAGTCGACGATATTGACGGGAAAATGGAGATGCACTTTGACTTCTTGGGTTCGGCATTCGGGAGCGAGCATATCAAGCATGTGGCTGGTTCACTCAGCCATATGCTCTCAGAATTGGTACGCGATCCGCATCAAAGTCTTCGCGATATTTTGAAGCCGAGCAAACGCGACATGACTTCGATCCTCCAGTGGAACAGTCCCTTGATTACTCCCGTGGAAAAATGCGCACACGAGATCTTTGCCGAACGGGTGCGAGCGTTCCCAGACAGGGAGGCGATTTACAGCTGGGATGGGATCATGACATACAAGCAACTCGATGATGCATCCACCTGCATTGGCCGACACCTCTTGCAGTATGGCATTGGCCCAGAGACATTGGTTCCTGTGTGCTTCGAGAAATCGCTATGGACAGTCGTCGCTATACTGGGTATTCTCAAAGCTGGGGGAGCATTTGTGCTACTTGATCCAGCGCACCCAGAAGCACGCTTGTGGAACCTTATCAACGAACTAGAAGCCTCTGTCGTGGTATGCTCGCCATTGACAGCAGAGTCGCGAGGCTTCAGGCTCCGTGCAGCCACCGAAACTAAGACAATCTCCATAGTTGAGATTGGCCAAGGGCTTGTTGATCAACTGCTTTCTTCTAGACAACACGAACTGGACAACGCACCGATCTGCGATTCAGTGAAGCCAGAGAACCTTATGTACGCGGTGTTCACTTCTGGCACCACGGGAAAGCCAAAGGGTACCCTAATAACTCACCGCGCATTGGCCACGGGATTGAGAGAACATGCGGTCGCTACAGGTATGACGCTTATGGGACCTGATACACGGTCCTTACAATTTGCGTCATACAGTTTCGATGCATCAATAGGTGATATCTTCACCACCATTGAAGTTGGTGGCTGCCTTTGTATTCCGAGAGAAGAAGACCGTAGCCCTGTCGAGGTCACAACCTTCGTGGCACGCAGCAGGGCTACTTGGGCAGGTATAACTCCGTCTTTTGCTGCCCTACTTGACCCGCTATCGGTATCCACCCTGAAAGCCCTCTGCCTGGCAGGCGAGCCCCTTTCCGTACAGCAAGTGAACGCATGGGCTAGCCGTCTTCAGTTGATCAACATGTACGGTCCTACTGAATGCACCATAGCATGCGTATCGCACTCAGCTGTGACTCGGGAGATTGGTGCGTCGAACATTGGGCGTGGATACCGCTGTGCTACGTGGGTTGTTGATGAGAATAATCACGATATTCTTCGGCCAGTAGGTGTCATCGGTGAGCTACTCATAGAAGGACCTATACTGGCCAGAGGATACCTCAAAAGGCCCGAGACGACGGCGGCAGTGTTCATTGACAGTCCTGAATGGCTTAAGGGCGTTCGGCCGGACAGCAAACTCTACAAAACAGGCGATCTTGTCCGCTACAATTCTGATGGAACGTTGAATTTCATTGGAAGGAAAGATACACAAATCAAGATCAATGGCCAGCGTGTTGAGGTTGGCGAGATTGAGACTGTACTGAGCACCAGTCTTGATCGAGACGATGGTCCCATCATCGTCGATTTGCTCAAGCGGGCTAGCCTCGGAGAGAGCGACATGCTAGTTTGTTTTGTCTGCGTAAGGCCTGATTCGGAGTCGTCAAAAGAGTCGTTTGCGAGTGAGGAACTCATTCCTACAGATGCAGATTCGATCGAGAAATTACGTTCTGTGGTGGCCAAGATACTGCGTCAACCATCTACAACATCATCGCTCCCACGGTATATGCTTCCTCAAGCATATATTCCGATCAAGAAGATCCCACTATCAACTTCTGGAAAAACCAACAGACGTGCCCTTCAGGTAGCAACCTCAGCGCTGGCCCGTGTCCAGCTGGTTGGGTACACAGCGGCACTTACCATATCGACTAATGGCGACGATCTCGAAACAGACGAAGAGTTGCTCCTTGGCGAACTATGGGAGAAGGTCCTGAACGTCCAAGTGACCAGCAAGAGAAGTAACTTCTATAACCTTGGAGCAGATTCAGTGATTGCCATGCGACTGAGGGCGGAATGCCGACGCGTTGGAATTGATCTTTCTATTGCAGAAATCTTCGCCAATCCGGATCTGATCGATATGGCAAGTCTTCTGACCAGTACCTCAACAACCATCTCTTCCACTGCGTCATCGAATCTAGTCTCATCAAGTGCATCTACGATAAGCGAAGGCTCTTGCAGTGAGCCATTCTCGCTGGTGCGTCATCTCGACATCAAATTTGATGACGAGTCACTCCAAGAGATATCGGCAGAATGCTCCCTATCTGTCGAAGACATCGAAGACATATATCCCTGCAGTCCTATGCAGGAAGCTTTGATGGCCATATCCTCCTCAGACCCCAAACAACAAGCATATTGTCTCCATGCTGCGTTCACCTTACCTCTGGAAATGGATGTCTCTCGTTTCCTTCTGGCATGGGAGCAAACCAGTGTTCGCTTCGCAATGATGAGGAGTCGAATTATCTTGAGACCTCACGGCAGCTTCATCGTCGTCGCTCGATCTGCTCCTGCAGCTTATTCGGTCACCGGAAAATCATGCGCGGAACAAATGGCATCACAACGGACTCAAGCATTTTCCTACGGATCTCCACTGTTGCGCCTAGGTGTGGTTTCAGGAGAACAGGGTGGTCCGAGTTCCTTCATCATTGGCGTTCACCACGCAGCCTATGATGGCTGGTCAATGAAACTGATCTGGGATACTGTGATTGGGTTCTTTCGCGGGGATCCGGGTCCAACTCATCCCAGTCCATCATTCCAATCTTTCATCAGAGAGCTCAATTTGAAGAGCACTCTGCCTTCTGAAGATTATTGGAAGAACCAGCTAATTGGCCAAGACGAGAACGGTTTTAAGTGGCCACCGGTGGCGAGTTCTCATAAGCCGTCTGCAAGCTCGAGCAAGAAATTTCGATTCAACTACATTGCACAGGCCAGTCGAAACCTCTCAGTAACTACAGCCGATCTTGTCAACGCCGTGTGGGCTATGACTCTGGCTAGGTATTCGGATAGTACTTTGGTCTCGTATGGCGTAACACTATCCGGCCGAGACATCGCACTTCCCCATATCGAGGAAATTGTTGGGCCGACCATCGCTACAGTCCCGAGACAAGTAGAGGTCCGACATGATATGAGCTTGGCGGACTACTTGCGAACATTGCAACAAGTCATTAATTCGGCACTACCTCATCAGCACCTTGGCCTCCAAAAGATCCAAAGCTTGAGTCCAGCTGCACGGGAGGCTTGCGACTTCAATACACTACTGGTTATTACTCCGGGCTCGCTTACGGACAACTCTCTTCTCAACGAGCTCGGCATTGTTCCCCTACCTATCGATTCAGCTGACTTCCATCCATACCCTCTTGTCCTCGAGTGTAGCATCGAAGACGATTCTCTGAACATTGAAGCCGCCTTTGATCCTCACTGCATCGATGAATCGACTCTTACCCTTGCGATGCAGCAATTTGATCACATTCTGCAAAACGTCAGCCAATGCACCTCGGATTCGTCACTCAGTGACATTGGTAGCCTCATGGATACAGCTCCCAGCCATATCGATGCCATTCTCGACTTCAACTCGAGCCAGCCGAAGGGGTTTGTTCCAAGACTTGTGCATGAAATAGTGGAACAGACCGCTCATGAGCAACCATCTGACATGGCCGTAATGTCTCATGATGGAACTCTGACATATCAGCAACTGGACAAACTCGCCAACATCCTGGCGCAAGACATACTCGAGCACAAACCTCACAATAGCGAATCTTGTTTCGTCGGTCTATATATCGATAAGTCAGCGGCCGCACTGGTGTCGATGCTTGCAATACTCAAAGCCGGCTGTGCTTTTGTACCTCTTGATCCTACCCAGCCAGCATCGCGCCTTGAAGCTCTCGTCGACACAGCTAGGGTGGAGATCATCTTAACCTCCCCAAGTCATGCCAACCGTTTGTCGGATTTATTCACAGATCATTATGTATTACTAGTCGAGTTATCTGCGCTGTCGCAATCATCACCAAGACCCAGCGCTTCAAGCCAATGCCATACCCAAGCTTCCCCAAGAGCTCAGCTCGCATACCTCCTTTACACATCTGGAACCACAGGTAGGCCAAAAGGGGTGGAAATTGATCATGCAGCTTGGTCGAGTGCCATAGCCTTCCAGAAGGATTACTTCAAACTGAGTCGGACGACGCGCATGCTACAATTCAGTAACTTCACCTTCGACGTCAGTCTTTTCGAGATATTTACCACACTCGCTGCCGGAGGTTGTGTATGCGTCCCATCCGAACAGGCACGCATGGATGATTTGACCGCGTCTATCCTCGAGATGAAAGTCAATGTGCTATCTTTGACACCAACGGTTGCACGAATTTTGGATGGCGGCAAGCTCGTGGACGTAGAACTCGTGGTTTTCGCTGGAGAAGCTTTGGCACAGTCAGACATCGATGCTTGGGTGCAGCCCGGACGTCGCATTGTCAATGCGTATGGTCCCACCGAGGCATGCATCTATGCGACCGCCAGAGATGTCGTGCAGGGCGGCCATCAGAAAAGCAGTCGCAACATCGGAAAGGGACTCGGCGTGGGCGTATGGGTGATGAGGCCCGAATCAAATACTCTCGCGCCAATCGGTGCGGTTGGCGAGCTTTGTCTTAGTGGTCAACAGTTGGCGCGTGGCTATCTTAGCATGGAAGAGGCTACGTTACGCTCTTTCAGCACACAGACTTTTGGTACTGCGCCTGGATCAATGCGTACAGCACGGGTTTATCGTACTGGAGACCTGGTCCGATATGAATCAGATGGGAGTCTTGAATTCCTCGGCCGACGAGATGGCCAAGTCAAGATTCGTGGTCAGCGCATCGATGTTGGCGAGGTGCAGCACCACATTCAGAAATCAATGGCCGCTGACACGCTTTTCCGCCATTGCACTGTCCAGCTCTGCTATCCATCATCTGGTGATTCTCAGCAAGGGTCAGCTAAGACAGACCCCGTATTGGTAGCATTCCTTGTCATGGAGCTGGACTTTGTGGACGCGCTATCGGGTGTGCGATTCTCTCATTTGCGCACTGAAAGTGCCGACTATCCCAACACGATAGCCACCAAGTTACAGCACAGTCTTCGGGCGGTACTTCCCTCGTTCATGGTACCCTCAATATTCATTGCGCTGAATAGGCTACCGAATACTGCATCAGGCAAGCTGGACCGTGGTTTCATAGCAACATATCTCGGCTCCCTGAATCTCGAAAGTTCAAACAGCGATAACACGGAAATTCTTCGCCCGCTGAACGCCAAGGAGGATATGCTAGGGGACTGGTGGGAGCGCCTATTAGGAGTCCACAAGAGTCTTGTGACTGTGAACAGCGACTTCTTTTCTTTGGGAGGCAACTCACTCTCTGCAATCAAACTGGTCAGCTTGGCTCGGTCTCTTGGCTACAAAACGACCTTTTCCTCCATATTCTCAAACCCTCTACTTTCAGATATGGCAAACCACATTGAGCCAACGTCGGAAGACGCTGTCACCTCCGAGCTTCCCCTCAGTGCACCGACATCAGCGCAATTCGATTTGATATCCGAAACCGAAGCACAGAGCGTGATTCACTATACGCTCCCGAAGTACGGCATTGACTTTGAAGATGTTGAAGACATATATCCAGCTACGCCTTTCCAGGAGGATTCCATGGCCTCAACCGCGAGAACCCCTTATGTATACCTCATGATTGCTCACATGGACATACCCACATCCGATCTGACGATGCTCAAGAGGTCTTGGGAACTTGCATTCCAGAGGTTCGAGCTATTGCGAACCCGGATGATTCCAGGCCATGACGGTAGTGCTTTGCAGGTCGTCACGAAAAGTTCTGCTCTGACGTGGGAAGAAGTGCCAGATATTGAGACGTTCGCTGAATATGTGTACGACAACCACGATTACGGCCAGCCGCTGGCTCGTGTCGGATTTGTGAAGGCAGCCTCCTCGCTGCAAGACGCCGAGGATACGAGCGGAACAGTCACCGTTCTTTTCAGTGCTTCACATGGACTTTACGATGGATGGTCTTTGTATATGATCTGGTCTAGGCTGTTTTCCAGTCCATCAACCGAAAATGATGATGATAGCGGCGACAGAGCCACACCATTCAAAGAGTTTATACGATACCAAGCAGCATTGGATCCAGCGGATGCCATCACATTTTGGCAGAAGAAGCTCGAAGGCGCATCCGGAGCAGAGTTTCCGGAGAAACCGGCAGACATTGCTGCAAACTATATGCCCATGGCCTCGTGGTCGATCAAGCAAAAGCTGCCTCTTCCAACTCCAGATGATATTCGCCAGTCTGGCGCGACGGTAGCTACCATTGCACAAGCAGCGTGGGCACTCACCGTGAGCCATTTCGGGGGAAGCAGCGATGTCATCTTTAAAACCGTCCTGTCTGGTCGCGCTACTGCTGCTGCCGGTGTTCCAGGCATAGAGGAGATGGCGGGACCCACGGCTGTCCTTATCCCCTGCCGCACGCGTATCGATCATAGTCTCAGTGTCTCATCTTTCCTGGCCCAGTGCCAGAATGATCACCTTGAAGCTATACCACATGCTCACATTGGATGGGAAAGAATATCACGGATCGATGAAGATTGTAACAAGGCATGCAAACTGCATAGCTTGTTCAACTTCCAAGCCGTTGCTTTTGATGACCTTAACGCTCAAGCGGCCGGTGTTTATTCTCCAAGAGTGTATGAGAATCCCAAAGGCTTTTCTCCCAATGCCTTGTGTGTTGATCTGGTGACATTGGTTGGTGGAAAAGAGATCCTGGTTACGTTCCATTACGACCCCGTCATCCTGCACAGTTCGCAGGTCGAGAGCATCATGGCGACTTTCATCACGCTTTTTGAACAGATGTTCCACAAGCCACCTTCGACACCAGTGGGAGACCTGAGTGCACTTTCAAAATCTCATATGGAGACACGGCAGCCTCAACAGGTCGGGTTCAACGGTGGATCCGACACAAACGCTGCATCGAGCGGATCGTACATACAGCATCTCGTACGACAGCACGTCGATCGCAACCCATTTCATCATGCTGTTGAGTCCTGGCATGACAGCATGACATATATGCAGCTCGAAGATTACTCCAACTCATTGGCGGAGCGACTGGTCCGCCAAGGCGTGCGATCGAACCAAGCCATCGGTCTAGTTCTTGATAAGTCTCCATGGGTCATTGTCGCCATCCTGGGCGTCTTAAAAGCCGGGGGTTACCTTATGCCCTTCGATCCCAGCACAGACAGTAGCTCATTGCCTGACTTGCTACACCACGCCAAAACGTCCACCGTTCTGGTCTCGCCAGCCTATGCCTCATTTTTCTCCGACGTCTCCGGCTGCCGATGCATTGTTGTCGCCGCGGATACTTTGCCGATACCCACTACGGCTTTCCTTAAGCCGGCTTATCGCTCACCCCTACCTCCAACAGCATCAGACTACGCTTTTGCGTTCCCACCGTTCTCTGCAGATGCCGGATCAGCTCCAAGTTTCGTCACTCAAGGAGAACTATGCGCTGCATTATTTCAGGTAGGGGAACGGATGGCCATGGACACAGAAACTCGGTCACTGCTGTACAATGAATCATGGTCTACTACCATGCTGGTCGATATCCTCGCTCCGCTTGCATACGGTGGCACAATCTGCTGTCCGCCGCTAAGTAGCAGCATCTCCAATGTTGGCGAAAGTATCAAATCCTTTGGCGTCAACGCCGTCACCATTCCTGTGGCTGTATCCAGGATACTTGAGCCCAACAATATGCCGGCCTTGCGACAGGTATGTTTGTACGGCGACATTCCGACACGTCATGATGTGGCTCGATGGAGCCAACGTGCCAGATTGTTCCTGGCCTGGGGTGTGGGGGAGATGGGCACCATTGCATTTTTGGGATCCCCTTCGCAAAGCCAACATAGAGAGTTTGTCGGCGCTGCAACTGGGACCTGCGCTTCCGTCGTGAACCCACACAACTTTTCCGAGCGTGTGCCACCAGGAGCAATTGGTATCCTTAAGCTTCACCATTTCAACCTCTCGAGCGCTCATGCTGGGCAAATTAAGACCGAGGGGCTGCAGCGGTTCAGAGCTAATGCAGACAGAACGCTGACTTTAATCGAGCCAGCAGCTGAACGCAAGTTGACAGTCAATGGTCATAGAATCAAGATCAGAGATATTGAAGATGCAATCCGACAGCACCTACCTAGCTCCTCGGACGTAGTGGTGGATCTGTACGCTCCCCAAATACTGGGAGACGATCTCCGACTTGGAGCCGTTGTGACGGCGAGCAGCACAGCACCGTGGACGAGCGAGCAGGGAGCAGCAGCCAATCTAGCTGGTCAACTAGCCACAGCTCTCCAGCCCAAACTCAACGCATCGCTGTCGCCCACGAGCATCCCGTCCTTTTTCACAGCGCTCCCCGCATTCCCACTGACAACGGCCGGCCAGCTCGATCGAAGCCGCCTCCAGGAGCTCGTGCGAAACGCACCCGCCGACTCGCTAGCCATCTGCCCCGAGATACACGGCTACGACGCTCCACTCTCGTCGAGCGAACGCCTGCTGGCCTCTCTCTGGATCAAGACGCTGAATCTTGACCAATCAACGGAGCTGAGCAGGCATGACCAATTCTTCGATGATTGGAGCGGCAACGAGCTGCGGGCGCTGCGGCTCGGCGCCGAGCTGAAGCGCCACAACTGGCTGCTCCATGTGCCGACCATGTTCGACCATCCCACGCTCGGAGCCATGGCTGCCGCCATGCAGCCGGACGGCTCATTCTCGCAGCTGCCCGGCAATGAACATTAGTTTCTGCGATGGCAGGTTGTTTCTTCAGAGTTCGATGTGATGATAGGATTTCTATTGTCAAAATTGGGGCTTTTTGTCACGCTTGGTGAGAAAGCCTGCGAAGCACAGGGCATGTGATCGGAGCAATGAAGGAATCTTTTGAGCCTTCTTATTGAGAAGCTGGCACTATTAGTAGTAGTATGACTACCTAATAGAGCGCTCTCTAAGGCACAACGGTAGTGGTGGTACGACTCGTATTGTATTGACTAAGGAGCTATTCACACGTTCGTAGATCCGTGTTGCGTGCAGCTGCGTCCAAGCTCCCCGCTAGGACCCACCTGCACGTGTCACCAATCATGTGACTACTCCTCCGCTTGATACCACCAAGTCACTTACGGACTGTATTCTCAACACTTCTTTTATTTTAATTCTTGGCGATATCTTGTTTTCTGATAGTTCAAGGCATACGGGGCGTTATGGAGAACAATTCCTGTTTCTGCTTAGATAAAATACGAGGGTTGTGAGATAGCCGATGTCTTAGTAGTAGCTATCACGTAAGGTCTCTATGGAGTAGTTTATTCTCTATTCGCCAATTCATATGCTGCGTTTCATCGTAAGACTCCTCGCATGCTATAGATATGAAAGAAAGAAAGAGCCTTTGACCATTTTCAACCCACCCATGTGCCGTGCAATGTATGCGAAGATGAAGTAACCAGAGACAAAGAAAATAACTGAAGGTAGAAGAATACCAATACAAAAGACAAGAGCCGACAAGCTAATGGCAACCTAGATTGACATTAGCGCCGTACTCGAGTAGGACCTTGAGGACGTCGATGCGCTGCAGCTTGACGGCGAGATGGAGGGCCGTCATGTTGTGGGCGTCGCAGGCGTCTATGAAGTGGCCTAGCAGACTGATTTTGCGACCTGAAGACGTTGGAACGGCCGTGTTCTGCTTGGTTGTTGTTGTTGTGACGGTGGTGGTAGGCATAGTAGCAGCAGCGGCCGCCTCAAAAGGCGGATTCTTGTCATTCGCGCACCAATCAAGCAGCATGGTAACCATGGCCTCGTTACCCGTGGTGACGGCCAGATGCAGCGGCGTTCTGCCACCGGCGGTAGTATGCAGGACATTTGCACCGAGGTCAAGCAGCGCACTGCTCGTCGTGACGTCACCGCGCTGGATGCAGTGGTGCAGCAAAGTGTCGCCATTGCGGTCGGGTAGGTCTAGCTTTGCGCCAGAGCGGACGAGGAGACGAGCCATGTCCATATTGCCAAGTGAGATGGCAGTGTAGAGCGGGCTCGAGGTTTCGTCGAGGAGTGCCGTGGAGCTGCTGCTGCTGCTGCTGCTGCTGTTGTTGGGACAGCTAGCGTGGTCGTCTGTGCCTTCCGGGTGGGGGCGGTTGCAGCAGCTCTTGAGTAGCGAGGGGTTTGAAGAGTTGCTGAGGGGGGTGTCGGCGACGACGGATGTCGACCAGTCTGAGACGGGCGTGGTCAGACTGCCGAGCGTGAGTGCCGTTGATGATGATGATGATGTTGACGACGAAGAAGCTGACGAAGAAGACGAAGAAGACGAGGATGATAAGGATGGTAGATGATGCGATGCAGGACTCATCATATACTTGTCGATATCACTGGACGAGAGCGGGGAGGTGCCGGATGATGGCAGCGCTTCGTTAGAAGTTGTTTCGCCGTTGCTGTGTATCCAGTCGAGGCGGGCGAGCGACGGGTCCAGACAACTGACGTCGCCCATTGCTGTTGTCGAGTCGGCGGAATTCATGTTGTGGGTGCTGCCGCCATCAAGATCAAAGGGCATGCCGTACTGCTCGAGAGCGGCGGCCAGGGCGTCACTGTCGCGCAGCAGCCTCGTGGATCGGCCATTATCTGTTTGTAGAAGATGTCTGACAGCTAGAGATTGAAGTGTATCAATGGGGGATGGGGATATTTGTCTGTTGGGAGAAGTGGTATTGTTGTTGTTGTTGCTGTGGTGCCGGCTAGCGACAGTGTGATAGCCGTCGTCGCAATCGCTAACCGAGGAGATCCAGTCGCGCCTGTCCGTCGCCGTGTCGGTCTGCTGGTGTGGTTTATCGCACAGGATAGCTCTGGCGAGTTCGATGCGCAGTTTCTGTCGTGTTCCTAGGGCAGGACAGTTAGCAGCATGGTCACATGATTCCGCTGCTTCTTGGGGCCTGGCTTGAGCTGCGGCACCAAGGGCTCAGTCTCTGGCCAGGCGTCGACCAACTCACGGTATTTTTTCTGGGCAGTCCTATTCTGTGCCTTGCGGCGCTCATTGACATCGGCCATGGCGAGGTGCGGCAGGAAAAAGCTTTGTTACTGGGCGCGTTCATGATATGCGCATTCGCTGAGCGGAACTAGCGTTGAAAGCAAAAAGAGCTAACGGCTTGGAACAGGGAATGCATGCATGCAACGGGAAGGCGCTGAACGGGGAAGCCACGAATGGGATACATAGTGGCTCGGCCCTTCCGCAGGGAACCACTTCTTATGCACGTGTGCCTGTGCGGTCTATCTACTGACGCCTGGACACGGGATGGCGGCCGCGCCGCAAGATTACCTGCCCTCAAGCGTAGATCCGTGACACCCCAGGGGCCTCGGGGTCCACTGTACGAAGGGGCTCGTTTTTAGTGAGTCCCCGCTCGGGCCACCTACTATCATTAAATGTGATTCGCATGTAAACATGATGAAAACGAGAGCAACAACTTCCACGGGTGATTGCAACACCAGAGAAGTCACTATATCGATAGATTATTACACAATTGAATAGCCTCATCTTTTTTCAGCTCCTCGAATGATGCCGTTGGCGTGCTGCTACACTTTTTTGTATGGCTGTACGCATGGGGACTTACTAAAAATGAGCTCCTTCGTAGGGCGCCTAAAGGACGCCTGAAGAATAAGTTTTCCAGTATGCAGGCCCAACACAAATCAGCCTAACTTTCAACCTCACACAACGCTACCAGTATAGGTTCGATTGAAGCTGCGCTTACAAGCAATAGAATCGCTGGAGCCTGGAGAACGTTTTTATACTTAGCAATAGCACGGAAGTATGGCTGTTACAACGTCACGTGCAGCTGGGGGACTTGACCAACACAGACTAAGCCCACAACGAAATGTGGAACTTGTGTAGCATACTGAGAGGCTTACAATGCAAGGCCGGCCCCACCTAAACGAAATATGAGACAAATTTCGCGTCATACATAGCCAAGGCAACTGTGAGCGAGAGCTGAGTTACCTGCTTCATTGACTTGACGAGTATAAGAGTGATTAGTTAGGAATTGATCAAGAGAAGGGTCTGTACGAGTATAAGCGGGGCTCAGGCGAGTGAAAGAGCAGATGAGTAAGAGCGACGGATAAATCAGCCAAGCCGCGGAGTCCAACAGCGGCGATCCCGTTGATTTGAACTTCCTAGCTCCGCCTGTCTGTCAGCACTAGCCAGACATGTGTAAGATGCAATCTGGCGGATCTATAATCCGTATCAGGAGATGGTATTACGAGTATCCATAACATTGAAGCTGGTATGCGCGGGCTCAGCACTAGCCAAGACAGACTAGCTCCGCACTAGCCCCTAGAAGAGGACACGAATCACGATATTTGTGCGACTTGTTGCCCATCGCCATCGAATAGCATGCATCGATACCCGACGACACTAGCATGGAGTAGACACCACATATATGCTTACGTAAACATGCTGACGACGACTTCACGAGGCCAACCACCGCATGAATGAGCGTCAAATCCGATGGAGAAGGAGTTGGTAGAGTTCAAAAACACCCAAACAGCACTTGCCTCCCAGGATTACTCCTCGAACAACGAGGCATTTCTTTGCTTGCGTTGATGACTTACAGCAACGTCTCTTGAACAATCTACTCGACGACTCTTTCTCACCAACATCAGACCGCCACCGGAGCCCTGCCTAGATGAACTTTATTTCAGATACCAACCAGAACAATGGCTGACCAAGTCTTCGATATCATCCGACAGATGCCATACCATTATTTGTTCACCGGAACTCTGCTCGTCTGTTTCTTAGCAGCCAATGCCAAATCTTTGCCACTAGCCCATACGTTACGACTGGCCCCTTCGTTATATAGACTATTGAGGGCAAAGTTTGGGTCGAAACGCAGTAAAAGCGCATCGGCGCGTCAAGCAACCTCTACAACGACAACATCCTATGCTGCACAGCCCGCTCTGTTCAAGCATTGCACCTTACAATCTCGGGCCATCGCATTCGATCTGGACATAAACATTCACAAGTCGAACAGCACGTTTTTCGCAGACGCCGACATCAACCGCGCCGAGCTCATAACGAGTCTTTTGAGTCAAGCGTTGGCGAATCTTGGATCGCCTGCCTTCATTTTGGCCGGGGTGCAATGCAAGTTCCAAAGGGAGATCCGCCCCTACCAAAGCTATGTCGTGTCGTCGCGCATCCTGGCTTGGAGCGACAAGGCCATGTACGTAGTCACCTACTTCACAAAGCCTGGCACGAAGCTTGCGAGGGAGTTGGACCTGCTGGGTGGACCTGAAGCCCTGGCCAAGGACAGCCAGGTGCGCAAGATCCTTTTTGGGACAATGGTCTCAAAGTATGTCTTCAAGGCGGGAAGGGCTACCGTGGCGCCCGAGCACGTCTTTCAAGAAGCAGGTTTGCTCATCGAGGCTGACAGTAAGAACGGCGTATCTGGGGGGAATGAATTGATTAGTAGAGAAGACGTTGCTGCGAGCGTGCAGGCTGGTTTGAGATACATTACGCGTTGTATGGATTAGGCAAATGCCAAATTTACACCCTGCATGCTTGGGAGATACATTACACAGTGTATGGATTAGGTAAATGCTAAGCTTATACGCTGCAGGCTTGGCAGATATATGAGAGAGAGAGGGACTACTACGCGCCCGACATGCAATGTTACTGTGTGTGCCCCACCCCGCTGACACCTTCCGCAAAAAGATGGACGCCTTACGGCAGGCTAAAAGATTAATGTAGTATCGATGGTATGTGACGCTGCAGCTGTGAGTCATTGTGCGTGAGACCTACTATTTAGTATAAATTTTCTATTATGAAAATAGATCTAGCTGTGACTGTGACGAGTCACGAAATGAAATGGTCTACATGCTTTCTTGCTTTGGGTCACAACTATGACCACAACATCATCAACACAGACGTAAGCACTAGCATTGAAGCAGCTGCACATCTTGAATCACTACTACGACACGCTCTCCTGCTCAGCCTCAACCGTCCTATGTAGCTACAAATTCCTCAAACCGAAGAGGCGCGCACCACCCAAAGGTATCCGCTACCCTGCCATGCTGAATGTCCTTCAGCGTGCTCGATAGCTTTTGGTAGCAGGGCCCGTTTTCAACGAAGCTAAAATCGCGATCTGTGGACTGGTGCCGGATCGCTGAAACCGACACCAGCCCGGCAGCCGTACCCACTGCAAGCACCTCGCTAAAGCTCGCGAGCTCGTCCAGTCTCACCTATACTGCGGTATCAGTCTCCAAGAGAAAATATTCGTTGGCAATTCAAGGCCGTATGCTCACCTGCCGCTTGACGACTTCCCACCCAAATGATGATGCCAGCTCCGAAACCGTCACGGCCGTGATGCTCTCAATGGCAGCCGGGCTATCCGCCACCACCACCGTCGTGCGTTCGAGCTGGGTGCTCTCATCTATCGCGCGCTCGAAGGCAATGAAGCCCGAGGTGCTAAACTCATCAATAAACGTCTGCGTCTTGCTGTCAACATGCAGCAGCACGCCCCAGCCGCCGTTCTCTGGCTTCCGCGCTTCCCTCGACCACTTCATGACAGGCGCGTAGTTGCCGCCGACCTTGACGGCTCCTGTGCCGCGCGTGGCCGCCCGGTCAAAGTCTTCGGATACCAGTGCCCGCAGCGTCCCATGGCCGTGGAAGGCAATGTGCGGCTGCACGAAGACGCAGAATATGAACTCGTCTGGCGGCTCCAGCCCAATTTGGCAACCTGACCCGAACTGAAAGGGCCTGATGTACAGGCTTCCTGCGAAGTCGGCAGGTGGGACGAACTCGGCGTTCCGTGCTACAGCCAGGTGGACAGCCTTGAGGAAAAGCTCTTCTGACACGCTGGGCATGGAGACGGCTTCCGCCGACCGCTGCATGCGCTTCGCGTTCGCTTCGGCGCGGAAAATGAGTATGTTGTTGTCCTGCGTTCGCCGTGCTGTTTCCACGCAGCAATCGCCGTCAGCACCGAGATGGAAAACTCGCCTCATGCCTCCCGGGGCTAAGTTTCAACCACAAACGCACCTTGTAGTCCCTCATAGACTTGCTGACCTGCTCACGCGGTTAGTATCTCTCGGGAAATGAAAATCTGGGGTTTGCCTTAGATTGAGAGACGCTATGCTTACCATAATGCAGCCCAGGCGCCAAACCGTGCACCTGCAGGTAGGGATTTTGGACAAACTCAGGCTCGGACCAGCCTGTCTCTGCGGTCCATTTACATATACAATGCCCGTTGACTGTTTTGTAGCTCAAAAATGTCCTAATCAGCCTCTGTTTCTCCGTCGATTTTGGTCATGAAAGTGGACCAGGAGGGAGGCTATGTGTCGATTTGGCTCACCATTGTTCTTCTTGCTACTGTACACGCCCCATTCTATGTAAATAAAAAATCAGCTTGGCTTCTCGCTACTTGCTAGGGCAACACACTACCTACGATAATCGGAGTTTGGTGCCGGGATCGTCATGTTGCTTTGCTTTGAACCCATGTTCACGTTGCTAGCATTCGTTAGCGCTTGATGGAGAGCAGAGGTCGTGGAAGTATAGAGTCGAGTATTTGAACGGCGAGCGAACGGAAACCCTTGACTATGTAATCATACGCTGAGGCAGGCGCAACTTTATAGCGTCATTTTTTAAAACCCGAGTGCACTCCATAAGCCAGTAGATAGAGCCATATTTTTTCCTTTCTACAGATAGCTATCGACCGTTTGTTTACGTTCCATGATGACTACACTTGAATAGAAAAGTCGACACAGTTGCCTCCCCCCCCCATACCACACTTCGAGGTCAGTGACTTCTTCAAGATATATCCGGCTAATAGTTCGGGTCCCGTAAGATGGCCAAGCTCTCGCAGGCTGAGGAGAATCTACTTGGATGGAGGCTGTGCGAACAGTAGCCATATACCGAGTCACACTCGCTTAATCAAGGTAGCCACGTGAGCATCTCGCTAATGAGCAATCTCCATCTCATGCTCACTCCCACACTGATCCAATCTATCAATTTGATCTCTCATCGACTGCTCCGCTCCAACATGATGTGGGGAGATTGCACTCATGTATCCAGCGGGCGATAATCACACCATCTAAGTATCTAAGTATCAGCAGCTCTGTGCGTATCATCCCCACAGTGGTCATCATCTCCCATCATCATGGAGTTTGGGTACCCGGAGATCTTGCTTCCGTCATCAGTCTTGGCGGCTGATTACGTGATGATTCCATGTCTCACATGTATAGGATTATGTGCATGCATGTGGTCTGCTTATGTCAGATCACGTCAGCATGGCGCACGGACTATGTGCAGTAGCGCCATCTGAGATGATCACGCACGAGGCGGTGGTAAGCTTTTTTCTTCCGGAAGCTTTTGTTCGCTGCTGTATGCCAAGGCGTTGGACCGCCATGTCTCTCTGGGTATTCTATTGTAGATGGAACTCATCTCGCGTTTTGAGGTGTACCTCAAGAGCTCTACAGGGCTGTTACGATAGGAGCATGTCTTTTCGGGTAATGCAAGTTATGCATCGTGAATCTATTACACTTCCCTACCAAGGCAAAAGTCATTCGTTGGTAGCTCAGTCTCGAGTAACGTAATTCATGAAATTGTATACATTGTTTGTCTAGTCTAGATGTTTACCATGATTTTTGTACGACTTGTCAAACATTTGCCGATGCTTGCAAAGCCTGTTGCTGCTGTACCCAGAAGCCAAGAAGAGATTGATCATTGCTTCCCTTAATATACCATTATTCAAATAGAAGGAAGATAAACTCGGCGACAGACCCGGCATGGGAATGATCAAGTCACTCTTCAAGCCTTCTCGGACACAAGTGTCGCTTACTCCACTTGTCGGGCCTTGAACTCAACCAATGGACCGTTCTTCCATGAAGTGAAGATATCCTCGAGCTCATACTTAATGGTAGGATCTGGGCCAAGACCGCTGCGGTGCCCATTCGCCCACCTCTCGCGGCACAGACGCATGTCGTACTGGAATAACATGGTCGCGTAGAGAATCGAGATGCCAAGGTAGGCCAGCGGCTTGCCGATGCAGCCTCTTGTCCCCGCGCTGAAGGGCAGGAACGCGCCATAGGCACGCTTGACGAACTCATGCGTGACTTCTGTGCCGTCTGCGAGCACAGAGCCGGGGATCCACCGCTCGGGCTGGAACTTCAATGGCGACGGGAAGTAGGCTGCGTCGTGGTGCATGGCAGATACAGGGACGCCAACGTTTGTGCCTCTTGGAATGTACAAGCCGTCGACGTGCACGCCGCCCACCTCGACCTCGCGCCGTAGTACCGAGCCAGCAGGCGGGGCTATGCGTAGAGCCTCTTCGATGCACGCCCTCAAGTACGTGCAAGAGTTCAGCGCACTGCCCAGTCTTATGTCCTCTACGCTGGAAAAGGTCTGGCGGATCTCGGCTTGCAGTTTTTGCAGTTTCTCGGGGTCGTGGAGAAGGTAGTACATGGCGGCTGAGATGGTCGTAGAGGTGGTGTCGCCGCCTGCGAAACGAATTCAAGTCAGTTCTGGTTGGTCCTGCTCGCGCACAGAGGAGAGTCATTGCTTACCGGCAGTGATTAGCAATATGGCTTCTTCCTTGATCTCGTCCATTGAAACGTCCTTGTTTGGATCAGCGTCGTTTGTGAGCCAGGTCATGAAATCCTTCTTGCCCAGTTCGACTCCTGTGGTTGTCTGTTCGATGCGTGCGGCAGCTGCACGTTCGACAAAGTCGTCGAACGGCTTGCTGGTTCGCACCCATCGTGACAGTAACGTATTACGCAGTCCTAGGCTGTGCAGAAGCGTGAGTGCGGAGCCAGTCTGTACAGAGTGAGCTTTTCTGAAGCAACGGTTGCAGGTCTTATTGGATATTCTTACCACATTCTCGGCCCACATGTTCTCGTGGATCAAATCCGCGAAATGTCTTCTTTCGCCAAGACGCATCATATTGAAAGATTCGCTCAAGGAAAGCTCGGTCGATAGATCGAACGAATACCTGTTGATCCATTCCGCCCAGTTCTTTGGAGTGCTCCATTGTCCAGTTGATTTCTTCTCGTCGACAGTCCAGCCATGTTGATCGTCGTCGGCAAGGTGCTCCAGACAGCGCAAGAGAATGGCTACATGTTTTTTGATAGTCACTTCCGCCTCTTTCAAGGCACTGTCCGAAAAGCCGTAGCGCAAAACACGACGCTTGCGAGCGTGCACTTCTTTGTTGATGCTTGAGAAGAGACTAGCATTTGCTGGATCCCGGGGAAAAGCAAGATAGCTATCTGCCTTACGTGTGTAGCGACTGTTGGTATAAAGCATCCTCACGGCGCCAGGTGTAGCGATGCTGAGTCTGTTAGGCCCGTACCGAACAACGGGTCCATAGCACTCATGCAGCTTGTGGAAATTTTGTGCTTCATCCTTGACGAAGATGTGGAATGTGTTGTAAAAGTCACTGATGCGTGCAAAAAAAGGCCCTGGGTACGACTTCAGAGGGTGGAAGTACAGGCGATGTATGGCCAAGGTAATGTTCCAGACCTTGATCAGTGTCAGTACAAGTCATGAAAAAGCTAATAGGGACTATCTTGCCGCAAATACCGCTACCCATAATAATAATATAGTCAAACATGCAGATACGCTTGCTGAACTTAAAGTGCTGGGAAATTTGAGTCTGTCCATTGTCGTCTGATGCTGGCAAGCAGGTGTTTGAACTTCTAGGTAATTATTGAGTCACAGCCAGCATCCATATCTACAGTGCATCACCCCAGAGGCTGCTTCAGTTTCAGTTTTCTTAGATTCTGGGCTGCCATGTGTTCAGCAGCGTAATTGTGGGTCACGTAACGATAACACACAGTAGCCCCAAAACCATGCTGATGTCATGCAGTCTGACACCCCTTCGTAACCGCCTCATCCAAATCAGCAAATGTCTGGCCAGAGGAATTATGCTCGGTTTACAAGCTTTTCTGACGCCGATAGAGCGTGCGACAGGCCAAACAAAGTCACTGGGCTCTGGCTCGAGTTATCGGGTTGCATCCAAGATACCACCGGTACTAGGTGCCCAGCACCTTCTTCGACCAAGGAATCATGCATCCCGACGTAGAGCGTGAACTCACACACACGCTCCTAATTGAATTGTTAGCGTATGTATTTATTTGGGCATTTTGGGTATGGTTGATACTGATTTGAAATAGACATCAATTTACATTCCCCGTGAAATGGTAAGTTCTTCCAGTGCAACACTGGATGTAAAGGCGAGATACCAGAATGCAAAGACGAACGTGGAAACTGAATTTTGTGCTTTTGCTGATTGGTTTACGTGCAAAGGATTGATACGCAAGATGTCATCTTGGGCCAATTCGGCACCGAGCGCATCGTGGAGGTGGGGCCATCCAATGTCCTCACTAATATGATGAAGAGAACGTGGAGCGCAGATTTCAAAGAGCAGGACGAATCACAAGGCGTTCAACGGCGTATTCTTGGACCACAAAGTGATCAAGACGAAATCTATTACCGCGAGCTACCGGAGGAAAGTATAGATGAACACCCATCGCTAGCCGATATCCAGGCCAGATTACCAACAGGATCAGTAAAGCCAGACGCGCAGCCAGTGCCGATACCAACGAGTACAGAAAGTGCAAAACAGCCGCTAGAATCTGTGAAAGATGTTGAAACGCCGACTTCAGCCATTGTACTTGCCATTGTCGCAGGAAAGTTGAAGAAGGGTAGTCAAGAAATTCCGTTAAGCGCTTCGATAAGTAGTCTTGCGGCAGGTAAGTTGATATTCCCTCACAAACGAGCTTTCAACTCATGCTCAATACAGGCCGCTCAACTCTTACGAACGAAATTGTGGGAGATCTACATGCCGAGTTCAAGGGCAAGCTACCTGAGCGACCCGAAGAGTTATCTCTAGAGGAACTCTGCCGTTTGCTGAGCGTCAACCACACCGGGAGACTCGGTAAACAGACGGAGTCGATGGTAAGCAGACTTATCTCTGCCAAGTTTCCGCCTGAATTCGCACAATCCACTATTCGCCAGACTCTAAAACACCAGTGGGGCCTTGGTCCTATGAGGCAGGATTCTGTCTTACTATTAATGGTATCTGATCCGCCAGATGCACGTCTTTCAACTGAGGAGGCCCACCAACGTCTCACAAGCTGGGTGACTAGCTATTTCCAAAAAGAAGGAATCTCGATGTCAAAGGCCGAGCCAGCAAACGATCAAGCTGTCATGATTGATTCGAAAGCAATGCAAATGATTACAGAAAAGTCATCGGCGCTTATCAAAGATATTCGAGACGTACTAGACTCTCATGTTCAAGACACGTCTCTTGCGAGCCTTGATTCAGATAGCCGAAGCCAAGCAGCCAATGAAGCCATTGAAAAGTTGGATGTTTGGGTATCTGAGCATGGTGAAGTGTATGGCGAAGGCATCTTACCAAAGTTTGATGTTAACAAGGAGCGCACATATGACTCTTTCTGGAACTGGAACACCCAAGATATTACGCTTCTGGCGCAACTGCTGGGCACTCAACATTCAGAAAGCCAATCGACCCTGATCGAGGATCTGTCATTCCATGTCATCAACAGAGCTTGCAACCGTTCCATCTCGCAGATTAAATATCTGATGTCAACAGCCAACAGAGCGGTAAAAGAAGGAGCAACATTATACAAGTCGCTACACTTTCTTCTTGAAGCCTGTACCATGTCAAAGAACCGTAATTCCGTCTTCATCGACAGATCTGTGAGCATGATACCTCTCACTATGGTTGACGATCTTGGAAAGGTTCTATTCCGAGAGATACCGCGAATCTCCATCGATTCGAAAGGGATGAAACCGCCTTCGATATCCTACACCGTGAGCCAGTTCAGCAATGGCGTTGCCAATTTCTCGGAGGAACTCAGCTCTGCCTTCGCTTCTGACCTTCAGTCTATCAGGCGAACAGGCTTTTCTTTCAGGGGAAAGAACGTTCTACTCAATGGAGCCGGGAGGAGGTCGATAGGGTTCCACATACTCCGCTCCTTACTTGAAGGCGGAGCCAGGATAACATTGACGACAAGCAGCTATTCTCCAGAAACCACCCAGATGTACCAAGATCTATATAGGAGATACGGCTCACGGCATTCACTCCTTCGGGTGCTTCCATTCAACCAAGGAAGTCAGCGTGACGTCAAGAGTCTGGTCGAGTATCTGGAGTCCGATCCAGATTGGGATCTCGATTATATTGTACCATTTGCGGCCATCTCTGAGAATGGCCGTAGCGTTGAGGACATTGACTCAAAGTCGGAGCTTGCGCACCGCCTCATGCTCACCAACCTCGTTCGACTCCTAGGAGCTATCGCTAGGAGCAAGAAGAACAGGAATATCAGAACGCGCCCTGCCACTGTCATCCTTCCGCTATCTCCAAATCATGGACTGATGGGAGGCGACGGGCTTTATTCAGAGTCAAAGAGATCACTCGAGATTCTCATGGCTAAGTGGTCTTCTGAAGCATGGTCGCAGTATCTCGCCCTTTTTGGCGTCGTCATTGGCTGGACAAGAGGTACCGGGCTCATGGACGACAACGACGTGGTCGCCCAGGCGGTCGAAGCGTTGGGTGTTCGGACATTTGCTGGCGACGAAATGGCAAGCAACATTGTGTGTCTTATGGGTGGTCGTCTTAATGCCGAATGCCAGTCCATTCCATTGTTTGTCGATCTAGGCGGAGGTCTCAATTCGGTCAAGGGCTTTAAAGATCGACTTGCAGCCATCCGCCGAGACTTGTCTGCATATACTCATACTAAGAAAGCGATCTACGAAGATATGGCAATGGAGGCTTCTCTTATTGCTGGCCCTGAAGTTAAGAGCAAGGCTGCTAAATTGGAACGGACTATAGACATCAAAAGCAACATGCGAATTCCTTTCCCGGCCCTACCTGATTACGACAATGAGCTCGCTCATTTGTCAACGGGCTTGAAGGAGATGATTGATCTGAGTCGTACTGTTGTCGTCACTGGCTTCGCTGAGCTCGGCCCTCACGGCAACAGTCGGACTAGATGGGAAATGGAGTCGGATGGTTCATTGTCACTCGAGGGCTGTATTGAGATGGCCTGGATAATGGGTCTGATAAAACATCAAACAGCTAACCCAATGGACGATGACGGTGTGGTTGGATGGGTCGACGCTGCTACACAAAAACCCGTCAAGGACAGCGAAATCCCTGCCCAATATCTGTCTCGGATACTGGAACATAGCGGTATCCGCACAATCGAGCCTGAAATCTGCGATAATGGATACGATCCTGATTTCAAGGAGTCCTTGCAAGAGTTGGTCCTCAAGCGTGATTTACCACCTTTTGAAACATCGGCCGAGTCAGCAGAAGATCTACGACGCAAACATGGCGACAAGGCAGTGGTATCCACCGATAATACTGGGACGTACCACGTGCAACTGAAGGCTGGCGCTACTCTCATGGTTCCACGGACATCCCGTTTCAATCGGACGGTTGCTGGTCAGATCCCCACTGGCTGGTCGCCCAAGAAATATGGCATCTCTGACGACATCATCCATCAAGTAGACCCGGTAACGCTGTTCTCTCTCGTTTGCACCGTTGAGGCATTCTTATCATCTGGTATCTTGGATCCTTACGAGCTCTACCAGCACATTCATGTCTCGGAGGTCGGAAACTGCATTGGCTCTAGCATGGGTGGACTTTCTTCACTCAGAAGCATGCATCGAGACAGATTCATCGACAAGCAGGTCAAGAGCGATGTACTCCAAGAAACCTTCATTAACACAACGGGTGCTTGGATCAACATGCTTTTGACTTCATCATCAGGCCCAATTAGGACACCTGTTGGGGCCTGTGCCACCTCACTTGAGTCCCTGGATACGGCATATGATCTCATCGTGGCACAGAAAGCTAAAGTGTGCATAGTTGGTGGTGTCGAGGATTTTGTAGAAGATGTGTCGTATGAATTCGGTAGCATGAAAGCCACCTGCAATACCGATGCCGAGTTCGCCGCTGGGCGTAGCGCACCAGAGATGTCAAGGCCGATGGCATCTAGCAGAAGCGGATTTGTCGAGTCTCAAGGATGTGGCGTGCAAATTGTCACCTCGGCAGAGCTGGCTCTCAAGATGGGCCTGCCGATATACGGTGTCGTGGCTCATACAAGTATGTCGGCCGATAAGGCAAGCCGTTCTGTACCAGCGCCAGGCAAGGGCGTGTTGACTAACGCACGCGAGCGACACAGTACAGTAAAGGAGCTCCCCCGACCACTATTGGACCTCAAGCTCGACCTCAAGTACCGGCGAAAGCAGCTCGACCAACGACGAAACCAGATAGCTTCATGGCGCGAAGAAAGCATTGCATTCATGGAAGCAGAAATCGACATGTTTTCACATCTCAGCGAAGAGGAGCGACTTCAATACCGTCGGCAAAACACCATTGACATAGAAAACGAAGCACTCAAACAGCAGGCAGATGCTAGATTTAACATCAATCACCAATTCTGGCAGAAAGATGAAGCACAACGTATATCCCCTATCCGAGGCTCCTTGGCAACATGGGGCCTTGGTATCGATGATATCTCCGTCGCGTCGCTTCACGGAACCTCTACAGTTCTCAATGATTTGAACGAGACGCTCGTCATTGAACAACAGATGAGACATCTGGGCCGCAAAGAAGGAAACCTGTTACCTTGTGTCAGCCAAAAATGGCTGACTGGCCATTCCAAGGGTGCCGCGGGCGCGTGGATGTTGAATGGTTGCCTGCAGATGATGGACTCTGGCCTAGTCACGGGAAACAGAAACGCCGACAACATTGACATCAAATTACGTGAACGAGGCTATTTGTACTTCCCCAATGTCACGTTAGAGCCCGACAAGGTGGATGGCATCAAGGCATGCTCAATCACCTCGTTCGGCTTCGGCCAAAAGGGTTGCCAGGCGCTTATGGTCCACCCTCGCTATCTCCTCTCCACGATTTCGAAGGAGGCCTTCGAACAGTATGCGAGGAAAAGGCAGAAGAGATGGCAGCTGGCTTGCTCTTCGTTCTCAGACGCCATGGTCAATGAAAACATGGTTTCAAGATGCATCAAAGATCAGGCACCGTACGAGTCAAGTGAAGAGATGGCTGCGCTACTTGATCCGTTGATGAGATTCAACGACTAGTGAATTGGGTGTTGAAAAGGGACAAATTGTTTTGAGAAACTTCCTTTTAAATTTCAATATGGCTGTGTAAAACATGCTAAGGAGTTGTAGGTCAGTTTAACTACTTCATTATATCAGCGACATAAATAGAATTTCAAATTGTAAAAGATTTTGCTTCCGCACAATCCAGCCAATTTACATTTCAACATTTATAACTAGTTCTTGAGACTTTCAATCTGAAGTCGAGTAATGTGACTGATTTATAGCTCTTGCCTTTCACTAAAATCTCATTTTATGAAGGTATATAAGTGATATCTGTTGCCATTCAGGACTACCCTTCTTGGAATCGGCCCGATGCTTCTTGGTCGAATGTTCTACAACCTTCACTTTCACTCCTTTGCCGTCATGTGCTTACGCACATCTCATGTATATAACCTTGTGTATCTACTCCGTAGGACAATCAACGCAGTTCTCATATGCAGTTGTTGACGTCTTGTCTACTGCGATAATATCGACAGTATGTAGTAGATATTCACAATTTAGTACTGTTCCAAAAGCAATGTGAAAAGGCAATTAAGGTGCTATTCCAGCACCTCAAAATTCTATAAGATACAGTTTTCACCTAGTAAGTATATATGAAAGCAGGGCAGCCCTGGGCATACAACGAATGAACTTGTCCAAATTTGGTCTCGCCGCAATATTCACTGTGGTTAGTGACGCAATGATTCTAAATGTGATCATGACATCTCATTTAACAACTGTACAGCTAACTGACTGCATCTATCTACTAGCTCCATTGCAAGGCCCATCCAAGACACAGCTACTCATTGCAGATACGGCACTATCAAGCACCGATTGATGGAACCGGCTTGAACTGGATATATGGACCCTGTTTCAGACTTGTGAAAGCCCAAAGTGTTTGATACACTCCCTTCTGTGTGCCTGTGCCGTCTCCCACCTGGCCCAACGACGACTCTGCCTGGCGGAAATCGTACTGCCTTATAACAGCCGCCGCAGCCAGACTGATTTCGATCATGGCCAAGTTCTTGCCGACGCAGTTGCGTGGGCCGACTGAGAACGTAGCAAACGCAGCTTTGGCCTTTGCTACCGAGTCTTCGCCAGACTCACTTGCAATCCAGCGCTCCGGCTTATATACGAACGGCTCTGGGAAGTAGGCCTTGTTGTGGTTGAGCGAGAAGATGCCTGTGCCGACTTCACAGCCTGCTGGAATATGGAGATTCTCGGAGGCAATGTCGAGGCCGCCGGGTAGCGCTTCTCTCCACATGGCGCCACTAGCAGCCGGGTTGAGTCGCAGTGCTTCTTGGGATACATGCGCGAAGATAGGTGCATGATGAGAGCTTCGGTCCTTGCGATATGTCTTGGTTGGAGGTGAATGTTTCACGGACTTCTCGGGCGACTCTAGAATAGGCTTCAGGATTACGTGAAAGGTAGAAGAACAACGCCGCGATACCAGTGGACGAGGTATCGGATCCTAGACAAGTATGTTTAGTCATGTAGTAGTATAAGTAAAGTAGACATTTGGAGCGCTTACCCGCTATGATCAACAGATTACTCTCTGCCCATAGTTGGGCTTGAGACAAGCTTTCGCCCGTTTCGGGGTCCTTGGCAGTCAAGAGCTTGGAGAAAAGGTCGTTTTTGAGGCCATCAGTATCGGTCTTGTCGCGTGCACGTCTTGCTTCCAGGATTTCTCGACTCTTCCCAGAAAAGCTAATAGCTTTCTTACGAGCTTCCGGGAATAGTATGTGATGAAAACGCATGTCTTGCAATTCTGGGAGCGTCGTCAGGAAGCTGATGCGCCGCATTTGTCCGAGTACACCGTCGATGATCCAATGATTGGTAGGATCGGTGAGAAGGTGGTATGAGGTGCCAAAGACCAATTGTGACATGACATCGAAAGTGAAAAAGTCGCCTGGAAGCGCGGTTAGCAGGCAATAAGTTCAATTTTCACAGATCAGGAATCTGTGCAGGACTCGTCACTTACTCCATTCAGCAAGATTCTTAGGAGCACTCCATTGGCCTTCGCCTGGTTTAAGACTTGAATCAAATGTGTCCTGAGTCTTACCAAGATTAGAAGCAAAGAGCAAAGCCAATCGACTAATCTCCGAGTCAATCGTGCGAAAATGCGAGTCTGAGAGTCCCTGATTGAGAAGCCTTCTCAGCTTGCCATGCTCCTTGTCGTCCATCGTACCCAATGTAGGGTGTACTCCTGGCACAAGCGAGATACGCAGATAACCCTTTGACTTGCGAACATTCTTTCCATGTCCATAGATGCCTTTCTATGCGTATTAGTTCAATCTTCAAAACGGCAAACAGGTAGTAATCCGTAGTCTCCATACCTTTGAACCCCTCTTCTGTATTGATGAGGAGTCTGTTTGGTCCATAGCGGACTCGATCGCCTAGCTCTGAGATTAGCGACTACATATTCTCGCTTCGTCGCTAACAGGTAGTGAATGCGACCTAGTTCAGCCTACCATATTTTTCGTGGCATCGGAAGATGTCCGTGTGTAGATCTCCAATGTACACGTGATAGATAGAGTACCAACTCGTCAATTTGGCCAGAAAAGGCCCAGGATACTTGGCATAAGGGTGGAAATACAGGCGATAGATGCTCAAGATGAGCTATTCATTTCCAAATGTTAATTAGCGTTCCTGTTCCCCTCATTCGCAGTTTGAATGCTGTTCAACATACCAATGCGCCAATTCCCGTACCAAGCAGGCCGACGGCGATGGCCTGTATGCCAGGCACTTGAGCGTATGTGACGAACATCGCCAATCTTTATCACAATGGGTGATCTATCAGGGCCGTACTGAATTGTGATTTTGGCTATCAACCATAAGGTGAAACCTGGTAGAGCCTCTGCAATAGAATCTTTCAAAGCAGCGAAACGTCCAACAATATCTCCGTCAAGCTGACTCTGCTAGGAAAAACATGCATTGGGCGCTAAGAATTCTGGCATGTGACAATAAACGTAGTGTAGCGCGTGTGTGCGTTGCTGACGAAATCTCACGTCAGGTACCACCGAACCCTAGCAGACAAACATTCGCACACAAATATTCATTCATTAGGCCACATGCACCAACGGTGTAAATCTTCTTCGATAGAGTAATTTGGTGAGGAATGCTTCGTACAGTAGCGTCGCTCCACCTGTGAAAATCACTGTCGGCCGCGATGCTCTCCTAGCATATTTATAATTTGAACGAGTAAAGCCTGGCGAATTGTCCTACATTTGTAAGCCGCAACGATGGGTGTATTAGTTACATTATCGGACAATCTGAAATTCTGCCTACTGGCGGGCGTCCCTTCGATACTGGTAATGTCTTTCCCTGCCTGTTATGCGTTTTATTTGCTTTGGATTTCTTCACCGCTGACACTACTGTGCGCATCAAGATTATCGCGTTTGCTCTGAGGATATTTGTCTTCCACCCACTTGCCTCGTATCCAGGGCCCTTTCTTGCGCGATGTACAGATTTATATGCCGGGTACTATGCGTGGAAGGGGACTCTTCATGTTGATATGTACAGATGTCACCAGAAATATGGTAAAGAACCATCCTGACCACGTTTTCACTGCCCTTTGTGGTACTTACACAAATGCGCATAGGCCCAATAGTGAGATACGGTCCATCACGTCTGTTGATTGACACGCATACCGCGGCTCATGGTTCGTGGCAAGGGATACTGGCATGCCTAATTATCAAATAGACTAAAATCATGATAGATATACACTCACACAGGGCGAACACGATCAAATCAAGGGCTTACCAAGCCCTGGTTCATAGTGCACCAAACACTCTTACCATTCGCCACAAAGAGGTTCATGCGCGGAGACGACGCATTCTCAGTCTTGCATTCTCAGACGCCCGAATGCTTAGCTACGAAAGTACCGTCAAAGGTTGCATCAAGGCGCTGTGCGACAATTTGAGGGAGAACGCGCTTGCACAAGACAATTCACCTAAAGAAACGTTAATCGACATGTCTCTTCAAAGTGAGTTGACATCCAAAGCCACATTTCATTCCGACTGATTAACGGAACCCGGAATAGGTGATTGGTTCACGTTTGACATCATGTCGGAAGTCATTTTCGGCATGAAGTATGAAGCGCTGAAAAAGTCAACATATCGACATGTAACCCAGGCAATTCAAGACTCGAATGTCCGAGTGAGCACCCTTGTACAGGCATATTCTCTCACCACTGGCCGACTGGACCGATATTTGTTTCCTGCGTCAATTCTAGCAAGGAACGCCTTTCTCAAGTTCATTACCTCTTTGTTGCGGGATCGATCCAAAATGCCCCCTTCCCAAGATAATGGCGATGTTTTCTCGTTCTTGGAGACGACCAAAGATCCAGACAATGACAAGACGCTGACAAAGTCTGAGATACGAGCGGAGTGCGCTACTCTCGTGGTCGCTGGTAAGTCGTTCCATTGTAATTGGGGACGATATTGTGGCTCACGAGGTTAACCCATACGAAAGGTTCTGATACATCGTCTTCTACTCTCGCAGCAACGCTTTTCTATTTGAGTGAGAATCAAGGAACGTACAAGAGGGTGTGTCGGGAAATTCGCCAAAAGTTCGCATCACTCGACGATATCAAATTGGGTGCTCAGCTGAATTCTTGCACCTATCTTCGGGCGTGCATCGACGAAGCTCTTCGGATGTCACCACCGGTGGGTGGCGCATTGTGGAGAGAGGTCGGTCCCGGTGGTATTACGATTGGTTCTACGCACCTACCGCAAGGCGTCGACGTTGGCACCGGTATCTACAGTTTGCACCACAATACCAGCTATTTCCACGAGCCTTTCCGCTTCAATCCCGAACGGTGGCTCACTGGCGAAAATGGGATCACGAAAGAGCAGGTTGAGCTGGCTCGAAGCGCCTTCCATCCATTCTCTAGTGGTCCAAGAGGCTGCATCGGCAAAGGTTTTGCTTATCATGAGATGACCTTGACGCTGTCTCATATACTTTACCAGTTTGACTTTTATCGTGCTGAGCATCCTACTGTTGGCACTGGCAAAAGGCCTGTGATCCAGGGCCATGTCCAGTTCCTCCTCAAAGACCATATCACGGGTGCGAAGGAAGGACCAGAGCTCCTGTTTAGGTCACGATAGGGCGGATCATGTTTCTCTTTGATTATGTTTCTTCCATATTTTGATAAGTTGAAACTTATCGGAAGCATTGCTGTCTTTCATGGCGTTATGATAGCTTGCATGTCAACACACACAAATAACACATGTGTCTGCCAATATCTAACACTTTCAATGACGCCAATGTATCATTAATTTGTTAAGTCGACACACAGCATCTATCTCGCGTTGGGGAAGGTAGACGATGATGTATTTTGAGAGTTCAGGCGCGGGCTCGGGAAGAGAAGCCATGGGCGCGTGGCGACTTCAGTCTCGAAGGATTTACAGCAGTTGTAGAAGTTATTACTTTGAGTCGTGAAGCTGGAAGGGCAACTGAGAGGCTAAAGCAGCGGAAGGTAGAGGCTGGTATATTATTATTATTATTATTATATTTCCATTAGAGTCCTGTATCAGTCTAAGACTACGTAGGACTTTGGCCGAGGCCGTTCTATCTACTTATCGTACGTTTTTATGGGGGTTTCGGTGGTGATTGCACACTATGGTGTCTTGGCGTCTCGGCCGGGTTGCTAAAGAGCAAATATGTTAACAGGAAGAGATGTAGTATAGCTAGGTAGCTATCATCCAGCGAGCTCTATAGGGGCTGGTAAAGGAAAGTAGTAACACAGGAGAGTGTGTAAGGCGTCTAGTTTTCTTGTAGTAGGTACCACTTTCTAGTCCCTACTTTAGTGCTAGTAATAAAGGCTATAGTAGCCTCGATACCCAACTTAGTGTGGAGTAGAAGGGGTAGTGTGATGGGTGAGTGGTTTATAGTGTCTTCAAGCTAGCGTCTCTCTTTCTTATAGAATCTACA